GAGTTCATATTTCAGTCTTCTTTCAAATCTTAATGCTCCTGAAGTCTTTGGGCACTCACTTTTTTTTTTTTTTTTAAACATATATCGCAAATCTAATGACTATCCCATTACATTTTATCACAATTGTCCATCCCTACTCTTCCTGCAAGTTAAAGGTCCAATGTGTAGCTTTGCTGGTGGAGGGTCCTGCTAATCTGATGGAGATGTCATTGCTTTGTCCAAAATGTTGTCCAAAGGTATTGCATTAAAGTTATCTATCTTTTATATCTTTAATTATCAGTGTTTGTACAGTGAGTGGACATGCCTCTCCACAGCTCTGACCTGTAGCCTGGCCTGGTCGTGTCACCTACTTGTTATTATGTAGATGGATATGTTCAGTGCCATACTGTGGAACATCTCTATGGAACATCTCTATGAAGACGAGCACCACTAGAAAAGTTGCACAGTGCAACTTTTAAGCAATAACCTTAACAAATTTCTACATGTAACATTATATTGCAGTTGGATTTTAGGGTTATTAAAGCTATGTAATGCTGGATTATTGAAAAGTAATAGCCATATCATGCAGTCCAAACTGGTTTAAAAATAGCAGTTATAATCACAAGAAAATCTGGGATGCAGTTAGCTGTCATATACTGAGAACACATCATATCGTTAAGAGGTTTATTGAAAACGTTTTATGTCTTAAGTTCTGGCAATGAAAAGTGAGGGGCTAATTCTGCTTTCTGACTGGATAAGACACACACAAAATTAAACTGTTATATTATGATAGGAATGCTTTTTTGTGATTTTCGAATAAATATACATTGCAGTTATCTGATGATTTGATGATTTCAATTTTGTTAACTTTTTATTGGGGGATGTGCAAGATGATAATGAAAACAAAATGAAAGAAAATAAATTGGACTACTTTTTAGGGTCGGGGAAATGGATTATTACTTGTTTTGTAATACTTTGATTAAAAGGTTTGGGTTATCTTAATCTAGTATTGTTTACCATTGTTACAGATGGTTCCATAAATTAGCTACTCGTCAGCATCACTTTTGCGCAACTTTCAGATTTTTCTCTACACTATTAAAATTAATGCCAAGTTTGCTAGTTATTACTTCCTCTTAAAGGTCCTATAGTACGCAAAAGTTTATTTTAAAGCCATGTTAAAATGTTGTTACCTCAAAAACATTGTTGACAGTTGGAGTTGTGTTTTGTTTCATTCAGACATTTTTGAATAATCCTTTATTATTAATCTGTCTACATCTCCTAAACTCAAAATTTTGTTTTCCACCTTGTGATTTCAGTAGAGATTTGCAATTCCAGAGCTGAAATCATCTAAATAATTCTAGCGGTGTATGGAGTTTAAAAACACAGCCTAAATATGCAGGGTTTGTGTGTTTAAACATGTGTTAATGAAGCAAAACACAGCTCCATGTGTCAGAAAAGAGAGCAATATGGGCCCCTACTAAAATGAATACGAACTACCTCCTTGCTACTTAGTATGCCCACTTAAAGAGTCACCACGCATCTTTATCCTCCCCATTGCCTCTAACCCTGCACATCCTCACCTCCACGCTAATCCCATAAACCACCTATGCTGATGTGACGTGTGCCTGGCTGCGCTCTTGCATAAGCTGCCCGGGAGAGCCAGTCCTCCCGTCGTTCTCCCTGTGACCAAAGTACCAGGGGCTGGCCGGTTATTTTTAGCCCCAAGGCAGGCGCATGCTGAAGGGGACTGCCCTGCTTCTGCTTGTGAGTAAACGACGGGAGGGAATGGAAGGAGGAATGTTTGGCTTACGCTTCTCTGAAACCTGACCCCCCGACCCAAAGTGGATCATTAAAATAACAAGAGAGGTGTAATTTAAACGTGGAAGTTTTGTGTAACATCAGTGAGAATGTGTTAAGCGTAAGGTGAGAATAAAGCACCGAAAGAGAGGAGAAAGTTACAGAGTGTGACTTTGAGAACAGTGCCAGGCTTGTCTCTACTTTGTTTCCTCTTGACAAGCAGGAAATATGGCCCGCAGAGGATCTATCTAAGGCCTATTACCGGGCCATATCCGCTAGGGTTTGGGTTGCACTCTTTTGTAGCTCACTCATGTTGTTGTTGTTGATGCCTTGACCTGGAAACTTCTAAGGATACCCCCCTCAAAGTTTGGGCTATTTTAGACGCTGGGCTTGTGCAGTTGTCAACCCATCTGACCTTACCTGATAACCTGGCAGCAGTTACCACCTCATGTTAGGACTAGACCCCTCTCTCTATGCGCTCATGGAAATGCACGCATGCAACCGGAGATGCCTGTGATCCTGTTGACTTAGAGATTTAAGCCACGTCTTGCACCACTCTTAAGGATACAAATCCAGGCATATAAATTAGGCTGTAGACTGGACAGTGGATTATGAACCTTTTTAGTGGAGTATTTTTACTCTTTAGAGGTGCACTGTGTAACTTTTTGGTGGGGGTCCGTCGCCTGCTTGTTTCTATGGATGTTATTGCTACTCTACCGTATATTTATTAAGTTACAGGTGGCTTTATACCTCAAAAATGCATAAAAAAACGGGTTTTCTGGCTGAAGAGGATTGCCTTTCCGCAGATCTGACTGGTAATTTGGTCTGGTTTGGTCTCCATGAAGATAGAAGTTTTAATACCATACCATGAAACGCTCCTGACAAAGCAAAAGCATTTGACCAGGAAAGTTACACAATATAACTATAAAGTATGTACGTACGTAATATGTGTTTAGTCACTGTAACCATAGCTCTTAATTCTAAATAATGTTGTGATGATACTAACATTTCAAACTCAATTTTGATACTAAAAGGTTTGATACTTGAGACCGCACAGGGAAAAAACTAGGAATGTAACAATAACCGAAATCAACCGTCAAAAGTCTCGCAATAATATCGTGGGCTGTCACAATATATCGAATTACATGTTTCTTTGCTTAAATGCATGGTTTTATAGTAGCAACAGCTTATGAACAACGGAAACTACATATCCCATGATTCATTTCAGTGCAAACAACATGAAGAGATATTTTTTTTACTTGAATTCTTGGGATTATGACGGAAATAATTGTCAGGACACTTTTTGGCTTTTAAAATACTCTATATTAGCCTCTCCAAAATATCGCAATAAATATCATACTGTGAGATGCATATCGTGATAATATCGTACCAAGAGTGTTGGCTATTGTTATATCTTTTTTTGTTAGTACTTTTTTTATACTGTAGATCATTAGATGCATTTTCAGCATAAAATAATCCTAGTTTCTATAATGTTATCGTGTGGTCTTTGATATATGAGGAACATTCTGAAACTATTCCAGAAGGAGACTATTTTAATATCTGGCTATCATTTTGATAGAAAAAGTAATAAATACAAGCTATAAAAATAAAACACCTAGTTAAACATTTAGGATTAGAGTTAGGGATTTACATCTACAGTTTTTGCTGGACAAAAGAAAAAAACTACATCCACTTTCTAGATAAGCTATCAAATACATTCCTCGGTCATTATTTCCTTTTGGTTAGCTGATTACTCTTTGTAGCTTTGCCAAGTGCTCTGCCTGTGACTGTTGGACAATTGGAGGAAGTGGACAGTGAAGGATGCATGAATGAACAAATGCTGTCTTCAATCATTTTGGCTCTAAACTTCTAATGGTTACTAAACTTTGTGACCTTTGTCAAAATAAGTGTGAGTGAAATGAAGGAAGTTTGTTGTAAAAGTACTTAACAATAGATAATATGTGTATTCTTTCCAGGATTATGTCTACTTATTAACTCAAGAAATGCTTTTGATGGTTTACTGTGACCAGATACCATAATAATAATAATAATAATGTTTGAATGATTTATACAACATTTTACTCACATTTGAGCTCCTCAACCTAAAGCCCATGTATCTGACTGACTTATATTTCTTCTAATTTAGAAAATACATGCCCTCTCACAGTGGGTTGTAAAAGCTGTTATTTGTAATAAAATAAGAGACTGTACCGCCTGAGACCTTTTAATAGGCTTTTCATTGGATGTGAACTATAAGGTAACAACTTGGTGTGACGTGCCATGTTGTCCAGTTGGGAATGTTGTTGGATGAGAACCATGTGGAAGTGGAAATAGTTGTTACCTTATAGTTCTTATCCAATAAGAAATCCTAAGTGTGATCCTTCTTGTTGTCTATGTGTTAACTAGGGGTGTGCAAAAATATCGAAATATGGATATATCATATCATTTAATGTCATGATAAAGTATCAATATCGTGAGCTGCTGTATTGATATATCACTAAAAGTGTTTTTTGGTATATTTTACTAAATTATTTTGTTACAGCGCTACAGTTTTGTTGCTTGTTTAGAGGAAGGAAACTCTTTTATGCGGCACATTTGACATTTTCAGTTTTAATGATTAAAATGTTTGTGTTTCATATTAACTTTGCACAAGAAGTGGTTTAACAAAGACTTTTAGTATCACAACCGTGATTTAGTCTATTGAACCGTATCAAATTGATTTTAAATATATGGTATCGAATGCACTGTATCGAGATATGTATCGTATCCTGGCCTATGTATCGAGGTATGTATCGTATCTGCAACTTCTGAATGATACCCAGCGCTAGTGTTAATATTGTTGAATGAGAGTGCTTTAGAAACAATTGTCTGTGCCTTTTGCCGACAGCTGTTTCTTTGTCATGGTGCAACTTTTGAATGAGATAGGACAATAGGTGGTGAAGCTAACAGTTCAAACCCAAACAATATTGACTACATGGCCTTTAATCTCAGTATATTTAGACTAGAGCAACGTAAGATCAGAGCTCAAGGAGATCTATCATAGAGAATATATTCTGTCTTTGTTTTATATGCACACTGCCATCTGCAATCTTATGCTGTATTGTCAACATATTTTCAAGGACATCCGCACATGATCCAACTCACTTCACAATACTTTTCATCTGACTTGTGTTTGGACTCAGGGGGCTGCTCTCATAGAATCACCTTTCTTCTTTGTGTTGCAGGATACGAGAAGACCGCAGACACCACATCAGAAAAGACATCTCTGGCTGACCAAGAAGATGCACGGCTCATATATCTTAACCAGCCACAGTTCGCCAAGTTTTGTAGCAACCGTGTCAGGTAAAGCACACATGGATATTATTATTATTATATCTACCAATTCCACTTCTACTTAGCAAATACATTTATAAATTGTAACATATTTTAAATACATATATATTTTTTTTATTATTATTTAATTATTATTTAATTATTATTTTTAGTTGTTGTATTTTTATTTTTTTGAATATAACTTTTCTTGCTTGTTGCAATTTAGCTTTAAAATATATTCCAAGCACTATCCAAACTTGGCTTCATTCATGCAACATAGCTTGTCGTCAGGTTAAAAAAACAACAAAAAAAAACCTAACATTTTAATTGAACTGAGACAAACTCATTTTAGATTGATTAAAGTTGACTATTTTAGTGTCAATATTTAACAGTGTAAACAGTGTAAAAAAGTGTGTTCCATCAACACAATAAAAACTGGCATTTATTTTATTCAATGTCCACTTTTCAAGACTCTCAGCTGCTACTGTTTCATTGCCATGTGTTGTTATTTAAAACTGGTAATGTTAACCCTGGGGTTGTCTATGTTTTGTGACCTCAGCCCGGCATACCCGCTTGTCACTGCAGTTAGATGTACGTTAACCTTTATGGTCTCAAGCATAACAGCTAAATTAAGCCATACAGAGCTACGCACATTGTAAACCTGATACATGATACACTTTTGTGAGACACGAGTTAACTGACACAAGCTATGGAAACACAGCTGACACTTTAACACAGTGACACATCTAATGGTATTAAAACATTTGATCACTTGTTCACACACATCCTGGTAATGAATACTCTTCACGTTGACTTAACCTTGATATGCTGTTGTTGCGATCACTGTTACAACTCTTTTAGCTCATATTTTATTTAAATATATTTTTAGGAAATGCTGTGTTTGGTAACATGTAAATTATAAGTAGTTTGCAGTGGTCCAAAGGAATTCCTCACTTACCTCATGCGTTCCCAAGATCCTAATTATTTACTGTGATGAGTTTATGAGAGTTTTTCACAACTTTCAGAGGCCTGAGAAGAGTGTGCTTGCATGCTAACTGCACCCTTCCTGATTCTCTGACAATGTGGCCCTTTATAATTTGATGCAGACTGTACCGGTACTGTATATAGTAATCACATTCTATATCAAATCTCATTCTTGGAGCAATTGGCTTCTATATGACCATCTGTATTTTATATGATTCTTGGTGTAATTTTGCTGCATAGGCTGTTGCTAAGTCAGATTTTCCAATATCTGAAATGATCAGTGTTGGCATTGCTGCTGCATTTGCAACTTTACACTGTATATAGACAAACATGAAAAGATGACTGCATGGGAAAGCCTCTGAATTATTTAGCTTTGTGGAGCCATCTTTGTCTGATCACAATATCAACATTGGTGTGAAGAAAAATTGATTCTTGGCATGCATTTCATCCCTTGAATTTATCTGTATCAACAAAATACCTAATCTTGTGGAATTTCTTCTTATAGTTTAAAGTGTTTAGTTCAAGTTTGTTACAGTTTTGTCTGTACTTCATTACCCATTGGATGAAAAGAAGAACAGGTGGCAGTTGGAATGTCAACACCAGAGAAAGCTGCTTGTGTGTGGCCCAACTTTCTTGGCATCTGTTTTGGGCACATTTGCAATTCAAAGACCACACGCCCAGGTCCTCATTTGTCAGGTGGACTTCTCCCCGTCTCCATTGTGTGTGAGACATGGACCAGAATCCATCCAAGTAAATAAAAAAAAAAAAAAAAAGCATTTAGCATTAGGACTGCAAGATGAATTGAAACTGTAAGACTGCATTTTTCTCAAGTACCGTCATTTTCTCCACCAACAACCTAACATCCTGTTATTATTCTGCATAAAAAACTATGAGCATGCTTTTATTCTTTTATGAATTTGTTAGTTCATAATATGGCTGTTAAGTATTGAAGGTCAGATACTAAAGAATACCAAAACCAATATCGATACTCATTTGAGCAGGTATCGATACTAAAAAAGTCACATTCACATGACAAAGACGAACCATTCTTGAATAGCAAGTATAAGTCCACACAGACTTGAATGCGCCCATGAACCACTATGGAACCTACCTGGAGGACTGTGAAATTACACAGATATAAGACTACATGATAATAAAATGATTTAATGGTGAAAATCACAGTATATTCTATGGAGAAAGAGTGCTTTTATTATCTTCTAATATCAGTGTTAGTATTGAGTATCAAGTCTGTTCCTTAGTACTGAATTCGAGTTTGAGTATAGTGACAACACTGGTTCCTGGACACGTTTAAAATGTAAACGTTTAAAAGAATCCTATTATTGAAACATGGATGGCACTTTTTGTTCCAAATCATTCAGCCCTAGCTAGCATCCTGTCTGCATTGCAAAATCATATCCTCTAATACTACATTGATATTTACGCATATGACTAACCCCTCATGAGAGATGTCTGATGTTGCCTGGCATGCCTGACTTGCGGATTGTTTATTCAGCTGTAGAGCTTTTTGGCAGACCAGCTCAGAATTGAAAGATGATTAATTGCACAATTGAAAACAACTTTAATCCCTGCACTGCGATTGGAAGCGGCCGCACAGACTCTCATCCAGTTACGTAGGCGTTAAGTGCTGACTGTGTTTTGTGGGACACCGGGTTAATCTCCTCACACGCGTGCGGACACTCATGGTGATATTAAATGATTATTTGATCACTCGACAGATGTATTAAAAAGGCAAACTTGACATTGAGGTTGGAAATGTCCAGACAACATTTCATTTTTGTATTGGGCAGAAGCAAACCATATGAGAGAGAAAGAGAGAACTCTGTGAGCTATAGGACTGGGAATCACTATTCAATGCCATACCAAAAGACATGACTCATGATACGATGCAATAATCTATATACCGTACTAGGCCTGCTCGATTACGGGAAAAAATCATTATCATGATTATTTTGGTCAATATTGAAATCACGATTACTCAAATGATTTTTTTTTTTTGTTGCATGACACATTTATTCAACATTTCTCTCTCTCAAAACAACACATTGTTATTACGCAACACTTTCAAATTGAACATAAAGACTACAAATATGTACCTTAGAGCAGTTTTGCAATGTATAAACTATTAAATGTATATATAAAAGATATAAAAGGTATATATCTAACTGTTCTAAAATCTCTCTATATATAAAAAAAAAAAAACATAATATACTTATTTATATTAAAAATATCCCAAAATAAATACCGTTAAGCTTTAATTGTTTCAACTCGATTATAAGTTTGGAGATCGTTTGACACACGAATCGAAATCGCATTAAAAATTCATTTAATTGCACAGCCTTATATTGTACATGATATGCTCTGATCTATCACAGCTTTAAAGGAACAGACATTTTTGACAACAGTATTTCATTATGAAAGCACTACATTCACATTCCCTTTATGAACAGTTAAAAGTTACTCTTAAGTTAAGGTCCTATACCTAAAAGTGTGAAAAACAAAACTAGTTCATTTTAAATGTGGTCCAACGTTTTTCTTCATTTACCATATGTATTCTGAGCATCCTAATTATTCACAGCAATGTCTTTAGAAGCACTTTTCACAACTCTCAGAAACCAGAGTGGAGTTTTGCAGCGACGGTAAATTCTCTGATTATTGGAAAATCAAATGTGCTGATTATGCTATAATATAAGATAAATTTTGCTCAAATACATGGAAAAACTAGGATACATTGAATATGCAGAATATCTAATTAAAAATGCAGAACTGTGTTTACATGGTGCCCACCTGCTACTTCTGTTCCAAGTTTGGATACTACTACTGGTAGGGTACTGAAAAGAAATTGGTATTGAAACTGGTAATGAATTTGTTGAATTTTGTTTTGCCGAGTTGTACGTGTCCTGAAATGGTGCTGTAGAAAGATTGCCACCACAAATTGGTCTTAATTAAACCATATTTATATTTATATGTCACTAAATGAAATGTTTGTACTATAAAGGGACCACTCATGCTGCTTCTGTAAACCGGTCAAACAGGTATCCTTAAGCACTTGATGTACTTAAAGTCCTTGTGTACAGAAGAAAAGGACATCCTGTAGTCTATAGTCTGAAGTATCGTTTACTCTCTGTTCAAATGTTGTACCTGGCTACTGTTTGTTGTTGATCTGTCTAACCTATATAATGTTTAAATGGAACATGGTACAAAGCTTGTGTAAAAGCTGACATACATCCTCATTGTGTGTGGTTGCATAAAGCTGAGTGTTTAGCTGATGGCCCTGCTCATTTGATTATCTCCTTTTGTGGTTGGATCCCTGCCGACCACGAGCTGGCACACACTCGCCCTTCAGAAGATGCACTACCAAGTATGAATAGTCTCGCCCACTTCATTAGATTACTTTGTTGTTCTGCCCCTCTAATGTGAGTGATACATCTTGGCTTTTTTATTTGTTTATACAAGAAATGGTTGTAAGGCAGAGAAATGGGTTTAGCGTCTGTGAAATCAATCCCGTAATGGCATGATTGTGGCACCAAGTTACATCCACGATCATTTTATGGAGCGCTAATGCAGAACACAATTCAAAATGGTAGGCTACGTGAACAAGCACTATTTTTAAGATAAACTGTAAACAACACTTTGCTCTATAGTTGGTTTATGGTCTTAAAAACCTAAAAAATTAGAATCAGAATTACTTCATTTTAAATGTACTATTTCAACTATTTGCAGTTTTTTTCCTTACTTACCTTATTAATTCATCCTAATTCTCACCACAATAAGTTTATAATAAGTTTTACTTTTTTCACAGTATATGGTAACAACAGCAGCATACTTAAACATCTCTAAATGTTTTGTAAATTAGATGCAGACAATACACAGTTGACTTATTTTGACCTCAAAAGCTGTGTGTACAATATATCTGTACTGGGGCAAGACAAAATTTTGCTCAAAAGGGGCCTGTACCTGATTTTTACCTTTATTATAGCATTAGTGATAGGCGTGTCACAGTTTAAAATACTGAAGTGGGATATATTATTACTGAAAATATAAACTATTTGTTGCCACTGACATTGAAAGCTCAAAGGTCAAAAGGTCAAATGAAAAAAAAACTGAATAAAAGTTTCCCATTTGTTGAAGAATAAGTCGATAGCTGTTATTGTAGCAGGCGTAATCACTGGCTATAATTACATATGGAAAGGAAAAGCATTAAGGACTGATAATAAAACTATGAAGAGGATTGCAGTGAGTGAAAGTGCTGTTTTGCTCCTCTGGACAATCTTGATCCTGATTCTTCTGCCAGGAAATAAAATGTGAGATCTATAATCATCCATTAAGCAGCGTGAGGGTGAGCTCTGAGGAAGTCCTGTAGCAACCAGAGCTGACAATGCCCCATTGCATCCAGCTCCTTCTGCTAGGATGTGGAAAGGTAAAAAAAAAATAGTTGAAAACATTTTTGAGTTCATCAGTGATTTTTATGTTTATTTTTTTAATTTGTCAACTAGTCAAACAAGCAAACAATTATTACCTCCGCCAAGGAGGTTATGTTTTTGCCAGCGTTTGTTTGTTTGTTTGTTTGTCTGTTAGCAACATAACTCAAAAAGTTATGGACCGATTTTGATGAAATTTTCAGGATTTGTTGGAAATGTGAAAAGGAAGAACTGATTTCATTTTGGGGGTGATCCGGAAGAAATCCTGGATTCTGGATCACTTTGAAATTTTAGTTAACATTGTGGTAAATGGGGCCAAAAATTTTGTTTCTCAATATCTCGGTTAATTATTGACCAAACCCCATGAAATTTGACTCAGGGATGGACAATGGGATCCTGTTTCATATTCCAAAGGCTGATCCGGATCTGATCCAGAAGACTGATTTTATCGCAATTTATATAAAAAAATGGGGGTAGTCCTTGGCGGAGGTCTGCGCTCTCTGAGTGCTTTTCTAGTTTCTATTGGTTTTTAAAGGCACAGTACTATTTAGAGCATGATTTAAAATAGAAAGTTAAAACCCTACTTTGGAACATTCTAAATGGGAATAGATGAGTTTTATAGCATACTTTGGCACATTATAGCCAAAGCAATGACATTTCCATGGAAACAGCAGTCTAATGTTGGCTAAAAACTTACATATTGTGGCCTTAACCAAATAAAGGTTGTACTATGGTGACTAAAAACGTCTGATGTATAATTATGTATAATTAATTATTTATGTATATTTTATAGTCTTTGTGATGAAACATCTTTTTGCATGTCTGTATATTCCAGTCCATTATTATCAAAATACTATTATGATTATTTTAAAAGTCCATTGTTCGCGATTATTCCCAAATAATTAGCATAGGAGATATCAGCTGCACATTTAGAAATCCATCTACAGTCTCTCAGGGGAAGTTAGTAACAGTGCATTAGTGCAGTCGGGCAGAATACCCAATGGACACACCTTAACTGTGCTCTAAATGTGCTCAACTTATTGTACTGCGCTTTGGATGATGCATGACAACATACTTTATTATGAGGCCATTAGCTTCAGTCATACACTCACATGTGCAAAGGAGTACTGTTTACTGTAATATGACCTTTCTTTAAAGCTCACACAGTATATTTGCACTCACCTTTCAACATGTCTCCCTGCGTTTTCAAATGTTGACAGATTCACTACTAAGTGCATCTATCTTCATGTAGTATTTTGTGTCAGCCTGTAGAGTTGGCGGCACAAGGTCTGAAAATGAACATGATGCACAATTGATGGTAACTTTGTATAGTGACATAGTGAAGTTCACCAGTGAAACTTGTTATAAAGCTACAAGCTAGGATTTTGTAATTAATCAAGATTGAGATTCAGTCATCTCTAATTGTCTAAAGTGATCAGCATCTTTTAAAGGACCTACCTGATTTTTCCCCCATGTATTAGAGCAAGCCCCAGTACAGATATATTGTATAAGCAGCCTTTGAGGTCAGAATATCTCAACTGGGTGCTATCTGCCTCTAATTACAAAGCATTTTATTATCGGATTGTCAGGAAGTGTACATTAGCATACTAGTTGTTGCTTTACCGTCATAGCAAAACTTTGCTGTGGTCTTTGGGAGCTGTGGGAGAGGTGAATTATTAGGATGTATAGAACGCATGGATGATGGGATGCATAAGGTACGTAAGGAATAAGTTTGGACTGGATCTGTTTTTCATGTTTTTAATCTAGGTACAGCACCTTTGAAATTGAGTGATCTACAGCCAGTCAGTAAAAGCTCACTGGCTAATTTGTATTGTGTTCAGCAAACTAATACATAATGAATACACACATAGGACATATACATAAATACATAATACAATTTTGATAAAATAGATACAAATGAAATCTAACTGGAAATCATGATTGATCAATTCATGAAAGAAATATTTTTTGTCATATCGCCTTCTGTATACAACGTAGTAGAGTCTGTCCTGTTTTTTCTATCCATCCGGTTTCCATTAGTCATTGGCTTTCTCAGTGCCACAGACAGCTCTGAATGAACACCGTGCTCACACACTTTTGTTTGATGTCGCTGTTTACTTTACCTGTGCAGCTGTAGTCTTACTATTGCAAAATCCATATGCTATCGTTTTCATGAGCCGCGGGCTATAGCCTCATTGTGTATGTGTGGCTGGTTTGTGCGCGGGTGAGTAAGCAAAGCGCTGCCAGTGTAGAGCTGGGCATACATCATGGCATATATCATCCTCCAAAGTGGCTCTTCTGACTAGACCTTTAGCACAGTCGTAAATCAGAGCGCTGGAGGGCTTCACTAGGTCCAGTATGAAATCACCACCAGCCCACAAGCCCACCACAGCAGCAGACATACACATAGCTCATGTTTGTCTGTTCCCACATTTCTTCAGGATCACTGGCTCTGGTCTGCTTTATTCATCATCAGAGCACATAATCACTCCCCTACTACTGTTCTTGGACCTAGTATTATATTTTAGTTAATTTATTTATATTGTTAATTGTCTTTAAAATGGGTAGTGTTAATGTAAGTTTTTTTGTTGTTGTTTTTTTTCAATGCTTTTAACATCTTAGATTTGGTTTCCATTTTATAAAATATATCAAAAGTAGTAATTTACGTACCCTATATGACACCCCTAAAATTATTAATGAATACCTTTTGCTCTGTTCTTTAACAATAGAATAAGTTCACTTCATAGACTAAAGGAGTGTGACATCATCTGTAGAGTTTGGCTCCAGTCAAATAAAGCTCACCGACGCTAGCAGTTATAGAATCAAATTTTATAGTCATGTGATTTATTGACAAAATAGCGAAATTAAAACATCAGGATTGTGTAGAGCAGGTTAATAACATTTTAAGACCAAAATGAAGAGCCTGACAGCAGTAATTACAGAGAGAGGGGCAACAGTTTTTCAATACAAAGTGAATTGGAGTTGGAAGTCCATGCTGTCTTCCTACTTGGAACACAGAGGCTATCTGGCAAGCTATGTCCATTTATTTATAGATATATACAGTCTATGGTTCACTTAAAGGTGCACTGATTAACTTTTCTGGGGGAGTGACTGCCACCTACTTGTCTTTATGGAGATGTTATTGCCTTAAACTTATTCATCTCCATGAAGATAAGAAGGTGATGCTACAAGATACAGTTCAGATCTGTGTACAAAGCCACCCTAAGAATGAGTTTTTGTCAAGGCTTTTTAATGTTAATTAAAACACCTGTATTATGGTTAAATAAGCCCATACTCTGAGACATTTCAGGCAAAGCACCAATACCTCCTTGGAGACCAGCTTAGTTACAGTACACCTTTAAGCAAATAACCTATCCCTAATTATGGGCTGTTCTTTGTGTAATTTTAAGCCTAGAAAAGCATTGTGCGTTTTGAGTCCTTATATAAACTTGTGCAATCTCTCTCTTCTTTTCTCTCTATTTGCCCTCTGCTGTTATTGACACCGCTGCTGTGTGATGCTGGCTGCAGCACTGCCAAATATAACGTCCTCACCTTCCTCCCGCGGTTCCTCTACTCTCAGTTCCGGAGAGCGGCCAATGCCTTCTTCCTCTTCATTGCACTCTTGCAGGTAAGATGTACTGTGGTTGCCATCTTGGGCCTGTCCATCTTGCTTACAAACCAGAGGGCTAGAAGTGTTCCCGATATATAGATTTAGGAGCTCATTAGCGCTAAATCACACTTCTCCCTGGTCGTAGTTTTTGCTGTGTGACTGGTGTGTTTGTTCTGACCTAGACTCCATCTTCCTAAGGTCATGGTTGTAATTTCATACACACACAATGGCTTTTTTTATGCCTCTGCTTGATGATGAATAATACATGTAATACTGCGTGTGTCACTAAATAAAACCACTCTGTACATACACAACCGCTACATGTTAGGAACACCATTGAGTCAGAGGATCACTGTCCTTTGTCCTTGATTATGCCAGTAAACTGAGGCAGTTAGTAGTTCAGTTTATATTGAATATGCATTTATAATAACACAGAAGAAAATATTGAAATAAAAATAATTTAATATTTGTACGTATTTAAAAAGGAGTTTAGCAGCTAAAAACAGTAGCTGTCTTCACTTGATCTCCCCTTTGTAGATTTTAGGCATAATTTTAAAGGTCACTATCTAAATTTTCTGGTAGGGGTGTCCATGAAGATGCTTTGTCAGGAATCTACAAAAGTATGGCATGGGTTTGTCAAAAGTATTGAAAATCTGATACTGATCGACCATCACTGATCGTGATAGATTACATAGATATAGATGGCCATATAAGAATAGGTTGCTCAAAAATGTCTCTGAGCAGGTTTTCTTACTGTAAGTGGGGTCCCTCTCCACAGATCTGAACTGTAACTTGGCCTGGAGAAAATGTAATATTGTTTTTGTAATATAGGCATCAATACTACTGTCCTACCCAAAATGTTACATGATGCATCTTTAAGCCACAATACGTATGCATTCACCATTTTTGTTTTAATTGTGAATTTTTGGTGTTTCCAGAATACAATCTGAATCTGGGAAAAAATTAAGGCAAAAAAATCAACTCCCCTCTAAAGACCAGACTGTAACTTTTGTTATATCGTCAACATCAACAAACTAGCAAACCAAGTAACCAGAATGCCCCAGCCTCTAGTGGCGGTGCTGAGAGACCAGTGTAATGTTAATGTTAATGAAAGCTTGCAAGATGGAAACCAGCTCTCTCCAGTGACCTTGAAGTTGGGGCTTTGAACAGAAGCCAGTGTGAATCTTCATTACCTGCCCTGTCGATGCTGCGACCTTGAATAAAACATCCATGCAGATGAGCAAGACGGGAGGGGGATCCATTTTCTCACAAGTTTCCATAAGAGTGTGTGTTACAGGAGCAGAGGAGCAAGTTACTGACTTGCTCTAATTAAAGCCACACATCTTTGTCATAAACTTTCATTATCATCATAACAATTTTATCATAAAATCACAAACAATTACTGTCAAGAAGTGTACTCCAGCCTACAGAAAATAAACAACTCATATGAACCAAAGAAATACTCTTATTAGCAAAGGAAATATATTCTTGTAGCTCACACAAACCATATCAACTGAAGTGATCCTGTATTCTATGTTGTCTCTTTTGCTGATATTCTTTGTTGTCTTTTATTTAGCAAATTCCAGATGTTTCTCCCACTGGTCGCTGGACAACACTGGTCCCTCTCCTCTTCATCCTTGTGGTGGCAGCTGTCAAAGAGATCATTGAAGATCTGGTAAGAAAAACAATAATTAGTGTTGAATCTGAAATTCATCATGGATTAATAGAAACATAGATGAAGTAGTAATATGCTGTTGTCTGCTATATAGTTATAATCTTTGGCACCCATGGATCATTATTTTATATTGGGGTGTGTTAAATTGCAATGTCATCTGCTGCACTGCCGAGCAGCAGACTTTTTGTTGTTGTTCCAAAATATGTGATGCTGCTGAATCCTGGAGAAGGATGGCGTCTTGATTGCAAGATTACTTAAACATGCATGAATCAGTCTAAATACAATTTGAAGTGGTTCAAAAATATGGTTCAAAATCACTTTTTCAATTTTCCATAATATGTCTCTTCTATGTTTTACTCAAGATGTTATTTTGTCACAGAGAAAATAATTACTGTGGCAGGCAATCAAGACAGGGGCACAGAAGCCTCATTTATAAAACATAGACTCAGCACAAATAAATGGACAAGCTACAAACTTTGAAAACCAAATTAACATGCCGTGATCAGGCTCCATGACCTTATGACCTTTTGATGATTGATTTATTTCCCATCCAATGCCATAGCAACTAAGCCTGTCATGATAACAAAATTGCTTGAGAAAATATAGACAATAAATTATAATGAAACTTAATTATGCCACTGACACACCAAGTCCAAAGCAGGGTTATTGCAAGTAAAAGTATTCTTAATGTACAATTTTGTAATAAATAGATAAATAAATCAAATTAAATTAAATTTATTTATTTTTTTGCAATGAATAAAGGGCAGAATAAACCAGTGTAATAGTTTGTGTATTTAATAACTCATACAAGTTATTTATTCAACCCTCAGTAGCTCAAATCTTATTGTAGTACAGAAAAAAAAAAGGTAAATAAGGAATAAGTTTGGACTGGACTAGATCTGTTTTTTATGTTCATGAGAAATATCCTCATTCAGCATAAATATTGACCCCCCAAAAATATTGTTCCTGTCTATAAGTCAGGACAGTAATTATCATGGTCTCTGACTCACTCGTATTGTTCCAGTTTGTTTATAAACACATGACTATGTGTTCCTTTCATTTAACAACAGAAAACACACCTCCCATGCTGAGAGTGGATGGCGTTAGGTTTTTTTTTCTTCAGTGTACGCCCTGATGTGTTCCCTGTGGGGTAGAGAGGAAGTGATGCTTACAAGGGCTCAGCGGGAGATTTCCCTACATCCAGACAAAACAACTAAACAGAAACGTGGCCATTCGGGGGTCACAGCTGTGCCTTCACTTGCCTTTCTGGATTAAAAAAAAACAAAACATTTAATGCACAACAACTGTTCAGTCAAATTGAACCAAACAACTGCATGAGCTCAGTAAATATGAACAGATGTCTAATTTAGGGCTGCACAATATATCGCAATTACACCTCAATTTGACTTTGTGCTATTATCGAATCGCAAAGGCTGCAGTTATTGAGATAATAGAATGTACTCTCTAAATGCTGTACCTGTAATTTAGACCTCTACAAAGTTGTTCACAAGATCCTTGCTTTTATCAGTTCATATTTTTAATCTTCTCTCCAATTTAAAGAAGACATATTGTGGTTTTGTCTGCATTATAGCTATAATTTATGACACCAGTGGATCATTATGTTATAATTGATATTTGGGACATTTTAATTCACCATACTGAAAATTCCCCCCTGACACTTTATGGTACATTGCCACAAAAAACATAAACATCACAACAAAGTCCTGCATGCTACTGACCTGTTCTGTTATTGGGTTTAACTAAAATTAATATTATATTTGTTGTAATAGACAGTTATAGGGTTTTGTCATTAATAGAAATGGCCAGCTTCAGCATTTGTGGATTTACTTTTTAGATATTTTCCACAAAAAGTGCAATCCAATTAATAGGAAAAACTGTCTCTTCCACATCTGGAAGCATGACATGATCAACAGTCTAGAATCAAAAAACACAAATCGATAGCTGCAGATCCTGCTAACAGAGAGTGTATTGTAAAAAGAAAATGTGCCTAAGTATCACAGTCTAGAAAAATGCAAAGGGAGAACAAAGTAAGTATAATAATGTTGAGTGTTGGGCGTGCATCATTGGCAGTGAAAATGGGGGGTAGATCAGAACAACGACATTTTGAATGAAGGAGAATAACTCAAACTTGCATAAATCAGTCTATATTCTACTTTGAGTGGGTAAATGAGAAGGGACAACAATTACAATGTAGCTAAAAACTCTAAAGTGGATTTTGCATAATAGCTCTCCATTAATGCACCTGGAGTTGTTCCCAAAGTGCACTCTGAAGAGAATTGTACTTCACAAATCTAATCACAATTCAGTTTCTCTCCAAAATCATTCAACCCTACCAGATTTTCTAAACTGTATAGCTCTGTCTGTGTTTCGAAAGAAGTCAAAGTCCTCGATACACCTTTCCCTCTTCATGCATAAGTAATTTCTCACTCAGCCTTTGGTGACGTTGGCCAGAGAATGTTGCATGCTACTGTATTGCGGTGACCCTGCAATGCGATCCTCCCGTTGCAGTTCCCAGTGGGCAGTTACTCTATACTATTAGCTTCTATCTCCTCGTGAAGGGCCCAGCGCAGCACTTTTTCCTCTTGAACTGTGGTGAAAAACATGGAGAGTGAGTGGAGATGACTGCCCGTGTGTGTGTGTCTGTGTATGAAGGTCACCGGTACACACACGTCTGGTCTCTGTAGTGTTCTGCTCCTCACAAGTTGACCTGACAGGACATGATCGACCCCAACTTCATGAATCATGCACTATGGACAGTACACACTCTGCACCGGCTCACCTTGTTGCCTCCCAGTCCCACTGCAGCAGATGAGGAAAGAACTGTTCTACCTGTTTTGTTTTTGATCCAATAATGCAATTTTGATCCAATAATACAATTCTACACATGCAAAGCTTCTACACACATCCGTGGTTTGTTATATGCAGTGTTTTCTTGACTTTCTCTAATTTAAAATATTTAATATGTTGTTTTATTAGCAATGGTATTTTATCATCATTCTGAAACCGCTCTCTGAGTGCTTTTCTAGTTATAGTATATGTTTTTTACTGTTTAAAATAATACTGATGTCTATGAAAAAAAAATAAAAGTGCAAATTAATCTAGTTATCAAGGTAAGGTTAGATGTACTTCATTGATCATTTATACTTGACCCATCCTTCATTGCTGCTGGGGCAACCTGTCAGGAGCAGGAGAGAAACTGCCATGGAGTGAGTGCCCAAGGACCCAACTCCAGCTAGGCTTGGTCAGGCCTGCCTTAGCTGAAGGATTGGTGGTTTTGTCATACTCCCAGATGGGGGCAAGATGGTGGAAACAGCACAACCCACAAATACATTGTGAGAACATGAAAACTCTACCAAAGGCCCCATGCCGCCTGGAGTTCGAACACAGGACCTTTTTGCAGTGAATGTTTATTGCATTCACTTTATTATATGAGGCTATAAATATGTTAATCAAAGCACTGCTGCAGAAGCTTGATCTCTTTTATCCTCTATTTGTCTCTTGAACTTTACTGATACTGCAGTATTTACTCTTTCTCCTCTATGTACTGTAAGCTCTCTGCTGCTGCACTGTGATTACACACATCATCTAAATACAGAACCTCTCCCATTCACTAAGTCCACTGGGATGTAAGGCATAGTACAGCCAATTGCGCAAGGGTAGAAGAATGAAAAGCTGAAAAATATAAAACTGAAGTTTCTCCTACTCCAAAGAAGGGTCTGTCCAATAATGGCACATAGTGAGGTGAATGAAATTTTTTTGTGTGTGTGTGTATCGCCCACCGTTAATCTGACATGCTGATTCATCTAAAATAGCTTTTCAGTCCCAAATATTTTTGTAATAACTGTTGATGTAAGCGTCCATTCACTGTTGTCCTCAGATGTTGCCACACTGCCATGAGAGACTACTACTATGTGATAATAGTCTGAACTCTGTCCAGAGTCCAGTCAGTGCAAAGGTGTGAAGAATAACTGTGGCCGTTCATTGGCCTACTCCCATTCTCTTTCTCGTTAGTCCCAAAGGCCTCAAACCAATGCCAGCAGCAACCCAGTCCACTCTGATCTACCATTTACACTGCAAAAATGAATACTTTGAGGTAGCCTTTGTCCTTCTTTTTAATAACATGCTATTCTTTCTGGCTGCCTTATACTTTTATAAATTCCGCCTCCCCCTCAAAGTGTATTTTAGAAATGGAACTTTGTGACCTCTACCTTTTGGCTCCATCTAATTGCAAAACATTGTATCTATTACAATTTACAAAATTGTAAGAAAGAGCAATATGAGTCACCATAGGATATGAATGAGAATAGGAATGAGAGCTGGTTGCTGTTGAGGGGTGTTTCACCAACTTCATGTAAAAGCTGTGTTAGTGGTTAAAAAAATAATGCATGTGAACATGCAATGTGCCAAAGGCTTTGTGAGGGATAGATTTTAATTATGGGCAAGCCTTCTGATTACAATTTAAACGGACCATAACACATTCATTCATGTTTTTTTTTTGTCTTTTCAGAAACGTCATAATGCTGACAGTGTAGTCAACAAAAAGGAATGTCAAGGTGGGTATTAAAATAATCACTTAGACTAGGAAAATGCGTATTAATTGCATTTTCATTTTATAATAACATTGTATAATAACAAATCATTTCTTTCTTCCTGCGTCGTTGTTTTCCCACCCTTGGTCTGACTCACTCCCACATTCCCTTCATTACTCATCACAGTGTTGAGAAATGGTGCCTGGGAGATTGTGCATTGGGAGAAGGTATGTATTCACTGAAAGCACATTTTGACATTATATTGTAACCCGGGCTACCAAAAATATGAAAAAAAATGTATACACCAACTAGCTGTACCATCCCTGAAGTTGTTTTCAGACAAAGAAACCTTGTGTATGCAGAGCGCATAGAGATACACACACTCCAAAACAATTAGCATCCATGGAGCTCCTAATTAAGGCAGCGTTTCCATGTGGCTGGCCATTGGAAGGTCATGATGCAGGACAAAGAGCAAATTCTTCCATCGTACATAATGGGAGTATTTTTCTCAGTGGTAATTACGTAATAATATAGTGGTATTCATTTGTAAAGCTCTAGTTTCACAGATGAGCTGTAGCTGGGTATGTTTTAACTGTGATACATACTTTTGTATGTCTCAATATTTTATTTGCAAAAATGTTATGTAAATATAATACAAATAAGCATATAGTATTCATAAACCACAGTTGAAGTGTCAGAGCTCTAGCTAAAACACTAATACATTTCTCTTTTCTGTGTCACATTAATAACATTGGTAACATTAGTGCAGATCCATGAAATATTAAAATATTATAGTTTTTACTTTTTAATTATGTATTTTATAAATACATTCTGTCACTGTCTAAGTTGCGTTGTACAGATTTGTTTAAAAAGTGGTATCATAGTTTTTATACAATGATTGCATTTTGCGTTATTTTTATTATTTTTTACAGCACAGATAAACTTTGCCTATTTTCAGCTTTACTCCCTGTTTTAGTGGAGGAACTATCCCAATGTTTCCCTCCTTGTAGTTTTTAACCAGTTTATGTTCACAGGTTGAAGTGGGCGATATTATTAAAGTAAATGGCAGTGATTTTGTTCCTGCGGATGCTGCCATTTTGTCTACCAGGTATAGGAGTCCATCATGCTGCCTGACAATCAGGAACTCCTTTCCCTCTTGCTCTCTTAGCCATCACTAGAGAAGTGGTGGTTAGATTCACATTCTGAATTAACCAATTTCCTTCATATTTAAAGTCTTTAATATTTTATGTGAAACCAACTATCACTTCTGTAAGTGGGCTATGGCGCAATGTTCTGACCAGAGTACCAATCATATCTGCATATATGTACTTCTTCACCTTATCATAAACCATGTAACTACTAAATTTTTACCAAAACATCTATGTAACATGTGAATGGTTTGTGAAAAGGAAAACAAGTGCTGTACCCTGAGCTCATCAGGAGTGATCATTGTCATCTCCCAAAGACTGAAACACTTTGTCTTTCTCCTTTTGTGTTTGCTGTTTGTCTGTCTGTGTCCCTCCTTTATTTCTCATCCTCCTCCTTCCTGCCTCTTATGTGAACAACTGCCACATGTCCTCTCTCTCACCCCCTGCTGGTGTGTGGTTGGTAATATCAGGTGGCTGTTGGTGAAGTAGTCAGAGCTGCAAATGGGGATCACCTCCCGGCCGACCTCGTCATACTGTCGTCCAGGTCAGAAAATCCACCAGCGTTACCAACGAAACAGCCGTGGGAGAGACTAGGGGCTGTGGACCTAGTGGGACCACACATACAGTATTATTTTACCTCTCATGAAAAGTCATTGATGAATTTAGCCATGTTACAGAGTGGTCAATTATTAATTTTACATTTTTCTTAATTATTTCATTTGTATTTGTTTTTTTGTTATTTTATTATTATTATTTTTATTTAGTCTTTTTTGTGCAACTATAGTTTTTGAATGTTTTCAATATAACTTGACAAGAACCGACATGTTGTTTTGGTTTGATATACTTTTTCCATAATTTTGCCTTTGCATGGCTTGCTACTCGTGCCACTTTTGCATGTAGTCACAATGCAAGATGAAGGCAAAGCATCTTGGAATTACTGACAACCTACCTCTCACCTGATCCTAATATAATGTAGGTCAAACTACTAATAAATAACCTCATTTTATTTGCCAAATTTACACCTGCCATTGAAGCAGAGTGGACTGTTGCTTTTTAAAACACAGTACTTGGCGGATGGCTCTCATCAGCACAGTGTAAATGTCTTATTGATTGTGGTTGGGCTTATTGTCGAGATCTTTATTTGAGTTTTAGGTTTTTTCTTCTCTTAGCCTGTTTATGTTTGGCCCAGCTTTCTATATGCATAAATCACGGTTTAAAAGGGAAGCTGACCAACAACCCAGCTCACCTTATCATTGGCATGCTCCGCTCTTTCTGACACGATGCCCAGAATTTGTCAGCGCCCCATTTGTCTGCTCGCTTTGTTGTACCCGGCTTGCCCTCTCAGCCTACTGTGATGTGTCCTCACTCATGGTTCTCCTCTGTCTTCAAATCAGAACTTTGCACAAACAAAGATGGTATATGTCCCATTATAGGTACATTTTTACTGCTTTTTCAGTTAAAGGTGCACAACCTTACTTTTCTTCCACATTATTGTGTTAGACATTCTTTACTTGGATATGTTTATTTCTAAAATGTCTTTGAAAGATATGCACTTGTAACTATTTATCACCTGCTTATCATCATGTAATCTGGTAACATTCCTGATGAAGCAATAACATCATGGACAAGCAGATGGCATACTCTTCCTCAGGAAAGTTATGCAGTGCACCTTTAATATTGCCTCTGTTACCACTATAAGAAAATATATCATCTTTGTTTGCCTTGTTCTGACTTGGCTAAATAGAAATAGAAAATGTTTATTAGATTGGTAAAATCTCATTAATCTGAATTTTGATTTACAATACATGAACTCCAGCTCTATGTCAGTTTCCAGTTTCTATGTCAGCTGCAAGCATGTGCCTCTCTTTATCCCAACAGTGAACCACAGGGTATGTGCTACATTGAAACCTCAAACTTGGATGGAGAGACCAATCTTAAAATCAGACAGGTATATTCCAGCCAAGACTCTTTAAACATTTTATTACAGGAACAAATAAAAAAAAAAAAGAAATGAATAATCTCTCTTACTCATTATCATTGTGTTTCCAGGGCCTCCAGGTGACCTCAGACATAAAGGAGATCGACAGCCTCATGCGTCTGTCTGGCCGCATGGAGTGTGAGAGTCCGAACCGCCATCTGTATGAGTTTGTCGGCAACATCAGACTAGACGGTCACAGGTACAACTACCGAAATATTTCTGTTTTTGGCTTTGTTTACATGCATACCAAAGATCTGATCATTATCTGATTTCTGGAAATTCAAGGCCCTTTACCCAGTTTTTCCCATATATTTAACCAAAAAGCCCCATTGCGGATATATAGTATAAGCAGTTCTTGAGGTCAAAATAAGTCTGCTGTGTGCCGTTTACATCTGATTGTTTAAGCATTTTATTGTCTGAGAATCAGGAAGTGCACATTAATCAGGTACAACTCTTACATCTGAATACTGTGAGTATTCTTATTTCTGATGGTGTCTCTGACCGTGATCTCACTACAGTTTCAACAAGGACAATTACTCAAAAAGCAAACTAATGTGGCAAAGACAAAAATGAGGTAGAAATTGTAAAAGGTTAAAACTTATTTTAAAATCCTTGTATTTTGTGTTCCCAGTGCAATAGTAACTGTAAAAAAGTTCTATTGCCAGTTTCAGTGAACAAAATTCAAAACTGCTTTGGTGCAACACTGAATAATAATAGCATATAAAGTATAAACTATGATAAAATACAAATATTTTAGGACATTTATTAAAGATAAGGTGAATATATATGAAATATACAGTATGGACAGAGCAGAAGTGCAAAAATATCAGTGCAAGAATTATAGTTGAAGTAAACTGGATTTATGGATTGGTTGGTTAGGGAATAGATCTAATTACCCTAGTTTTGTGATGTATATTTCATACAGTGTATTTCATAAATAAGTGAGCAGGAGGCAGTGTGTTTGCCTGTGTGCTTCTGCTTGGCTGACTGAACTGTCTAAATGCAGCACTGTGCCTCTGGGGCCGGACCAGATTTTACTGAGGGGAGCCCAGCTGAGGAACACACAGTGGGTCCATGGAGTGGTCGTGTACACGGGACATGATACTAAACTTATGCAGGTACAGCCAAACAAAATGTTTAAGAAATTACCAAAAAATATTCTTCTTCAGCTTTAATTAACTGTTCAGGAATGTTTGAAATTCTAACAAAAATAAACAAAGGCTGTTTCCCTATGTGTTGCCAGAATTCCACTCGCCCACCTCTGAAGCTGTCCAACGTGGAGCGGATTACCAACTTTCAGATCCTAGTGTTGTTCGGCTGCCTGCTGGCTATATCTCTAGTCTGCTCCATTGGCCAGACCATCTGGAAGTACCAGTATGGCAATGATGCCTGGTACATGGATCTCAACTGTAAGAATCCCAAAGCACATGCTGCATCTATTTCCACATATTTTGTTTCACTTGTTCCATATCAGCTTATTTTCTGTCTGATCTTAAGTTACTTAAATGCTGGTATGCGTTCTGTTAATTTCTGTTGCCTCAGTTGAACTACGTTTCACATTACAAGTGAAATATGTGGCAATGTGGGAATGCTTACATTCCCTCTAACTGAGAAATGCTTAGATGTGTTTTGATGTGTGTCTGTTAAAGAAATGGTTGAATATCACTGCGCTGCTGTACTTTTGGTTTCCTTTCTAATGTTCTGTTTGATTTTGTTTTCTTTGTTGTCGTTTTTTAACAGCTCCAGGTAACAACCATTTAAAAGCCTTGGCCATCCGTGAATGACCCTCCCTTACTAACCCCTTACTGAAGCTCTGCCTTTGCTAAGCAAATGAAGCCCCTATCCTCGCCCCTTAATGGTTGCCCATTGTATGGGCCGTGCCATGGACAAGTACAAACCAGGGATTCAACAATAGGTTTTTCCCCTCCAGCTCTCTTACTCCTTTGTCTAGTTCTTTTCAGTGCCTGATGCAAACAGTGTCTCACTTTTCTTTCATTTTTGTGTATCGGTAAACACTTTGCACCTACCAAGCTTCAGACCCTCAACAAAATCTTACCTAATGTTTTCATAATCATTGCATTAAATGCTAACAGTGTTGTTTTTAGTGAATGTCATAGCTGGAATCTTGTTAAAAACCTGACTGCAACTTATGGAGCAGAATAGGGAACATTTTGTACATATATTTTGAACTGTAACATGGGTCAAACACAGGTTTACACTCACAACACAGTAGAGTACAACACAGAGCAGTACAACAGAGTGCAGTACAGTGGTCATTTCCTAAATACAAAGTGCTGACAAATCAAGTTCACTTTAATATTGCTGCAGAACACATTGCTCTAAAAATACATTTAGATTGAGGAAGCTCTGAACCTGGTTTGCAAAGTGCTTATTGTGACACGCTGGCCATTTCTCTGTAACCTGATAGGTCTGTGTAGGAGAGGTTGTGCCCTGGTCAAGTACAGCTTGCCTTGTGACTTACACTTTCCCGTGTTTAGGGATTTTACATTGGCATATATTGGCAATGGAAATGTTTGGTTCATTAACATTAAAGTGTTCAATTTTATTTAATGAATCAATGGAAATGTAAGTCATAAAGCAGGTCTCCATCTTGATGATTGTATTTCCATAAGGGGAGGTTGAGGCTCTGTCCAGTGCACATTATCCAATCTGTGACAAAAGAGAGAGGTGGAGAGATGCCATTTGCTTTTAATTGGACCACTTTCGTTTTATAAGCAGCTTTCTGTCAGCCTTTTCTACTTCTACGCAGATTTGGCACATGCATTGTTTGCTGTCACATATCAGACAGCTCATATGACGCACACTATGATTATGCACACGTAGTGAATAATTAATTTGACTTTGACCCATTGCTGACACTGGTCTTAGCAGGCACTATGTTTTTACATTGTGACAACTTCACTTTATGGTCACCAGGGGCACAAGTGAATAATGTTGATGCCCTCTGCACCACTAGCTAAGTAGGACTGTGAATTCATCACAAACTTGCTGACATCGCAGTTTGTAAAATGCTGATCTTGATTCTGATGGAATAGTTTTTGTACGCATATAATATTTACTCAGATTTACTTGATGCCAATTTGTGCATCTCAGAAGATTAAAAGGAACTGTGTGTAGCTTGCACTCTTACTGTGAAATTTATGAAATTTTAAATAAGAATTTTGAGGTATTAATATTTGCTAAATATTTAGTCAAAACAGTGTACTAATATCTTGCATTAATGGTTTGGTTAAATGTCATTGTTCAATTTTGTTCAATTTTGCATGCAAGATTTTTATAACTTAACAAATCAGTATCTCCAATGTAATTCAATTATATTAAACTACAAATTGTTCCTGGCCTAAACCACCCACCCTTTTTCACAATTTGTTGGTTGTGAATGTGCTATGGACTGAATCTCCCCCCTTTTGTCTTGAGAGCATCTGATATGTCTGTCTTCCTCCCCACTTCAGACTAGTAATCCCACCATTATGTGTTGTAGCAGTAGCTTCATTCGCCACTTTTGTTGTGCCATCCCTTCTTTGTTTTGATTTTCGCAAATTTACCTATTACGGGGATGCACTCTCAACCCCTTCTCAACCTGCAATGCTAAGATCAAGGCTTGAGAAGGTAACAGTTTTACCTGCAAGCTGTGGAAAGGTAACTCACCTCCCTCCTGTTTCTATGTGGGGTGTCACTGGGGTACATGGTGATCATATCCAGTTGATTTGGGGGCTTTTGGGGGACTTTTTTTTTTGCATTAGTGCTTTGTGAAATTCATTGCCTGGATCATGCTGGATGTCAAGGCTGCTGCTGTGATACTAATGACTTTGAAATTCCCAAGTCCCTTTTGGCTACTTTGAATTCAGGGTACATTAAATTGGACTGCTAATTGGTTGAGCTCTAAGAGGATGAGGTTGGGTGGAAGAAATGGTTAATTCTAGCTAATGCATGACGTTAGCCTCAAACATTACCCAGAGTGGGCTAATGGCAAACATTAGCTGGAAGTAGCTTTGGGCATTTTCATTAAGCTAACCTGTGTTTGTATAACAGTACTGATGAGTTGTTTTCTGTTACTACTCCTTTTGTTCAAAACTCACTCCCTCGTAGACGGCGGAGCAGCTAACTTTGGCCTCAACTTTCTCACCTTCATCATCTTGTTCAACAACCTGATCCCCATCAGCCTTCTGGTCACGCTGGAGGTCATCAAGTTCATCCAGGCCTTCTTCATCAATTGGGTGAGTTTAAAGAGTGAGATAATTGCTTTTAAGTATTCTTTTATTTAAAATTAAAAATTTTGCATTTAGCTGTACAATTTCTACAATGGCAACAAATATATCACCAAATTTATTATATCGCAATGTTGGAAATACTCAAAATGTAAAGGTGCAAGATGAACTTTTCTGCTGTGGTGTCCGCTACCAGCTTGTCTTCATGAAAATGTAATATTTTAGCCTGAAATGTTCCACAGTATGACATTAAACTTATCCATCATGCATTTATTCGGAAACAGGTCTTTTTATCACTTAAAATCTAAAAAAAAAAAAAAAACATTCTCATTGTAAATAGGGGTCACCTCTCCACAGATCTGACCTGTCATTTGGCCCAAAGGTTGTCTCCATGGAGATAAATAAATGAAATGCATACTGTGGAACATTCTAGGCTTCCTCCATGGAGACAAGTAGGTGACGGACCCTGAACCAGAAAGGTTAAACATTACACCTTTAAATATCGAGTTACCAAATGTAAAGTGATATTTTTGCTCTTTGTGATTAAACCATATGGTCAAGTTTTGTGCGATGCTTGACCCTCAACTGAGACATTTACTGGCAGGTTTTAGTACATTCCTCATGCATTTTTTAAATATCTGAATATTATTACTGAGCTCTATCTAGTTCTAGATCTTTTTTTTTTTTTTGTCTATATTGTCAACCCCCAACAACAAATGTTCAGCAGGAGCTAATGCTGACTACAAGTTTCAAAGGAAATGTCATTTCCTTCGACAGTTCACACATTGCTTAGCTCAGTCAAATCATACTGTAAGGGAGACTGACCAATATCGGGACTGGATGAAGTAAAAGTAGACACTATATATCTGTCGAAGCTGGCAGATCATGATGAGGTCACTGGATCTCAATTCAATATAATGATGAATTATTTCAACCACCTCAACTTTTTTCACCCACTGAATGTGCACGATGCCTCTGTATTAATACAATTTCAATAACCATAACCACAACCACTAACCATATTTATGTGATTCCAGGACACTGATATGCTCTACGAACCTACAAACACACCTGCTATGGCTCGAACTTCGAATTTAAATGAAGAATTAGGCCAGGTAACCATGCACAAGATTGTTTATATTCTCCTTTTAAGACTTAATTTCAAGGTTTCTCATTTATTTTCACCCCTCTTTCTTTACAGGTGAAATATATCTTCTCTGACAAGACAGGCACTTTGACTTGCAATGTGATGCAGTTCAAGAAATGCACCATTGCTGGAGTGGCATATGGGTATGTGTTTTTATAACCCCAATCTATCCTGTTGCTTTCCTTTATCTTCTTTTAAAGCATTGTTAGTCTCAGCAAATCTGCTTTTTCTCCTCCCTTTTCCTTATTTTTCACTGCTGCCCCTTTCAATAGTAGATTAAGTTTACTACAGTACAGGTGTATATGCCATGCTAGATATTTTTGGCTGGACTTTAATGGTAGCCTTTTGGCATAATGCTACTGTGATTCTCAATACGTTCTATATAGATAAGAGTTTAACTGGTGCAGAGTAAACAAATTAAAGATATGTGCTGTGTTACCCATTTTCTTCATGGCAAAAACCCATCCTTTAAAAAGAATTTCTTATAGAGATGCGTCACTATTAAATGTTTGATATGAAATTCAAATGGTGAATGACTGCATCTTGAATCCCCTCCACTTGCGCGCTGATTCGTCTGACAAGAATCCTCTAGCGGAAATTAAGCCTTTTTTGGTCCTGGAATATGATTGCAAAGACACTGTGACTAGCCAGGTTACTATGAAATCCTGAGCAATCTGAGCAAGAGCAGATTCTTAATTATTTAAAAATATAATCATTTTTCCACAATGCTTCAGTGGGTTCACTGAAGTATTCCTGCAGAGGAGTACAGCCGTGACACGATGTGATGAATCCCATTAGGATTCAATTAAGAGCGTGATTGATGAAGTGTGAGGGGGAGGACAAAGACAGTTTTATCTAGATCTTTCTCTATGTAATGTAGTACTATCCACAGTGCACGTTTTGGTCTTGTTCTGAGTGTAAAGCCATAATGTACATGCTGATAATGATATTCTGCAAAGTTTTTTTTTTTTTTTTTTTTTTTTTTTAAATTGTAAACAGTAAAGTATTTTTGTGCTTTAAATATAGCTGGACTGTATTTGGGGCTGTTTTTTTATCCTTTCAAAGGCTCTCTTGTGCAGGTGATAAATATGGATGAGTATTTGAAAGCAGGAGTGAATGATGTGTTCTAATGAGGCAAAGCTGTTTTGCATTGTGTTAGTAGTATTTACTATACATTTGTGCCTCAAAAATGGTCTGAGAAAATAATGAATACATATCATTAATGGATGTTGTTTTTATTACATTGCAGTGCAAGTATGTTTTAGAGTGGTGTGGGTACTGTGCATGAGTAACAAATGTATAATGTGTGGTTGTAATCTGCTCCAGAGACATGCTGTTGATTGTTGTTTTTCTCACCACTGTTATTAATCCTGCCTTCCCCAGTGGTTTAGACAGTAATTAATAATAATAATCATAAGCAGAGAAGGCCCTCCTGGGCATTGTTGGATTGGTCTGAGTGACATTCAAACTATACATAATGGCATAATCATCATTATTATAAATATCTATTTTTGCAGATTGCAATTTTTGAGTGTGAGAACAAGCCGAGAGTATGAGTTAAATGAGCCTAAATTGTTGAAGGCCTATAATGTTCACTGGAGCACATGCTCCAGCCTCAGAGCTCACAAAAGCCTGCATTGGAGTTAGTCTCCCAGCGACATGTGAAAGTAATGATGTTTCATTCTTGAGCTGAGGGATGACTGTATCTTTTCTAAATATCCAGCACAAACCTGTTTGTCCCCCTCCGTGTTTGGATTATACATTGGAGCTGCCCAAGTACACACACTTCCTCATGTTAGCAGTAGCTCTTATGGTTTTACTCTCCCACCTTCACTCCTACAGTCATGTGCCAGAGCCTGACGATGGTAGTTTTGCAGAGGAGGACTGGTAAGATGGTTGCAAAACAGTGACCCAATTTCTCTGCTTCTGTGATGTGTTCAGTGATGCTTTGCATTGTGGGAACTTACTATGAATCAAATGTAAATGTGCATTTGTGTGTGTCTGTGTGGGCTGTGAGTCTGTTTGTAATGGAATGAAATATGATGCTGTTACTAGCTGTGAATTCCCAGGTACAGTAACAGATGTATGAAGTTCATGCAATAAGTTGTTTTGTTTATTGGCCTAAAACATTTTATTTACTTCAAGTAAATTCTCTTTTAAAAATAGCACTGTGCATAGTTTTTAGCTGCTGGGCTCACACCCACTTCTCCTTTCTTCTCTCTTGCTCTCACACACAGTCCTACTTCTGAGTGTTAGGGTCTGCAGTGAGAGCATGGGTGTGTCCTATCCATTTTGCACGGGGGATTTGGACCTGTTAATGCCTATGATGTCCACATTTGAAATATTTTTGGTTTAAGATGTTCCTCCAATAGAAAGCATGTGTTGCCTTGCTGTTTATTTTTTCTGATTTTATTGTTGGCTCAAAACGTAAAGATGAGTGAGATCCAATAATAAACATTGCTTTTCTACGACAGTCCCCAGACTAGAGAAAAGGACTTAAAAGGGATAGATGTACAACAGATTTTAATGAGCTTTTGACCATGTTATGTCATAATTAACTTTTGACTGATTCATGCATGTTTGAGTAATCCTGTATTGTCCTGCATTTGGAACTTGAGTGCTTGGAAAATAGTTTTATCCTCTTTCCCCACCCTCGCGTTATTAGAAAATTAAAGTATAACATCCATAGACATACATGATTTTTTTAACCCTAAAGCCAAACTAAGAGTCTGAATTTTAAGGTGATCTTCATAGGAATGTTGCAGTTTTAAAACTGATTTCTAACAAACACAATTGCATGGTGTGTCAGAGGTCCTTTGTCTTGGCTGTGAACAGCCTGTACCCTTGTTTCTATAGTGACAGGACCTCCATGTGCTGGCAGACAATCAATAACTTAGTGTCCTCTTCACACAGCCCTGTAGCTTAAAATTTCATTAAGTTGATCATCACGTTGAGTTACAGCGCTCAAGAGCTCAGGGCTTTCTTAATACTGTAATAATACTGCTTTATTGAGTTAAATAACTATGTGCTATATATACACACATGTTTGTTCATTTGTTGTCCTTGATAACTGATGCATATGTTTGTTACACGTTACCCTCCTATACTTGCATCTTCAAATGTATACAATAATGTCTTGTGCCTGGCTTTTAATGAGCAATGCTGCCCTTTTTCTAACCCTGTTTAGCTCTGCTTGTTGACTGAGACAGTGGTGTTTTCTTGTGTAAATTGTCCTTTTTTTGTAATTCATGTTGCAAAGAATGTAGCATTGTATTTCATCATTAATCCATTGGCAAGCTATAGGTGTTAACAGCCTATTATCAGAGGTGGGTAGAGTAGTCAAAAGTAGAAATAAAGAAGTGGTCCAAGGAGGGATCACTTGTAGACTCACAGTGGGAAGAGTAATCAAAAACGTTTTCTCAAGTAAGAGTACTGTAAAATAGAAGTAGACATATGATGTCTGAAAACTAGTCCAAAAATTTGAATTTTATTCTTAGTAAATGTAACTGACTACTACCCATCTCAATCTATTTTTCATATCATATCATCAATTAATGATTTCTTAATCTAATTTATTTGTGTATTCCAGCTTGACCCAACTCCTAGCGTATCTTATCTTATTAATGAGCAAAGGTCCTTTATTAGGCTAAATTGACTCTTGTGAGCTTTAAGTCATGTTATAATTTTGTTACCTCATCAATAACTTATATGGAGTTGTGTTTTATTTCATTCACACATGCTTGAGTAACGTTTTATTATTAGTCTGTCTACATTCCCAAAGCTCAAAATGCTCTGTTCCACCTTGTGATGTCAAGAAGTGGTAGTTTTCACGTTAACAACCTTTTATTACCACCCAGATGATTCTATTGAAAGTGTATGGAGTTTAAAAACACATTGGAGCACTTCCTGTACTACCACATGACATCACAAGTTGGAAAAGATTGTTATCTGCTTGAGAGAAGAACACAGCCTAAATATGCAGGGCTTGTTAAACATGTGTGAATGAAACAAAACACAACTCCAGGTATGTTTGTAATGAGGAAAACAACATTATTACAGCTCAGAAAACTGTGTAATATGGGCTCTTTAAACATCAAACATGGTTTTGTGTTGACTTTTCCATCTCCTCTTTCCAGGCACAGCTCTCACTCTTCAGATGAGGCAGGATTTAATGACCCGAGCTTACTGGAAAACCTCCAAAGTCATCACGTAAGTCATGTCAGGTCTTCCCATGGTTGGCACTGTTATCTAAAGCCACATTCAAACCAGTGAATCTCCTTGTAATGCTAGAAGTTTAATGTTTTTGGCACATGTTGTATTTGCAGTGTATTTGTGAAGAATACTTGGGAAAGATTCAGAATACTGAATTGCATTAAAATGTATTTTGTAATACATCCTGATGTATGGAGTTTACATTCAATTTAAAGGAGCATTGCGTAACTTTTTGAGTGGAGTCTGACACCTTTTTTCTCCATGAATATATAGTTAATTTTCCTGTAATTTTCCACAATATAGCATTAAAGTTAAACATATCTATATTCATCGATAACTTACAGTAAAGAATACATATTTTTCAAGGTATTTTTGATTCATTAAAAATCTGTAATTGAATAAAGGCAAGATATACAAGTTTATACTGTGGACTATGAGTACTTCAATGTTTTCCTTTGATTTTTGAAAAGTAACTATACTCTGAATACCACTAAATGAAAGAGTAAATGTTCTTAAAATTATGATTCTGAATACTAGTTCCTGGTGCATTTTAGTTACTTCCCAGCTCTGTGTATATCTTTATTACTAATCAGATGGTAAAATTTTGTCTTAAACATTTTTCAGTGTGTAAATCAACGTCAAAAAACTGTTAAAAGATAAAAATAAGTAAATACCACCTGCCATAATGAATGAAATGGCAAAGACAGATTGATTGGCTGACTGTGTCACTGTGCGTCAGCCAGCGCTCTGGTAGAGAATGAATGTCACATCTAATTATAAACAGTAGTGCACCAGGGGAAGTAAGGAGCCCACTGGGAGGTTAGGTCTGTTATGACAGTCCAAAATGTCCACATGTTGCATAAAGCCTGGAGCATTTTGTGTTTGTATATTGATAGTTTTTGTGTATTGATATTTTGTATACTGAAAGTGTTGTGTCTAACAGTGATTATGTCAGTTGTATTCTTATTATTTATGAAGTTATTAATATTATTACTACTGGATACCGAGTCAGTGACAATGGGTATATTCTTAGCTCCAGCTTAGGCTGATATTTATTTTAAGTTTTAGATTGGTGCTTTATTAGAACACTTAAGTACAGTAGCTACTGCTCTCTTTTAGGTTTACAGTGGGAAAGGGCTCTGGGTGTTTTGTAGAGCCAGAGATTCTTGAATTTGAAAACCACCAATATAGGTGACAAAATCAGCTGCTCTAGATTAAAAAAACATTGCTATTGCCATTGGATATGACAAAACATATCAGCCCATCACTCATATCAAGCCTATATGTTTCTTTTCTTCCTTAAATTTTCTGGTACATTCTGGAGTGTAATACCAATGTCCTTCTTCCAACCAATTAGTTCTTGTTTCATTTATCACATTTAGTTCACAAGTCTATTTCTGGATGTGTTTTTTATACTCCAAGTTCTTAACACCATATGCTCTCAGTTCATACTTACTTACCCTTGTAGCTTTGGGCTCGTACTTGCTATAGCATTAAAAGTGTTTATCATTAGCAGTTGGTTTAGCTGCAGGCTCGCTGTAGGAGTAGTGTTGATGCAGTGGTGAGGGGGTGGCAAACTTCTGAACAGCAAAATTAAGTGCACCCACTATTACAAGGATCCCCTGTGGTTGTCTCGTGTTGATTCTTTGGTTGTGTTTTCCACCCACAGAGATCCAGCCCTGTTAGAATATTGTGTTTGACCGCTCCCCCTTCTTCCTTTCTCTCTGCTTGACCCTTCCTCTGTCTCTATCTGGACATGTCGGCAGCGATGATTGTCTGTCAGTGTTGCCGTGACACACATTACCCAGGAGTCCGTGGGGGCGAGAGCTGGCAGCGCAGTATTAGCTGTCACATCTAATTGTGCTATCAGGAGCTCTCAACATGTCCTGCCCTCTGTACCCTGTTTATCTCTGCCCTCAATGTGTATTTTATTTAAGTATAGCCCAAAACATAACACTTATAATAACTTGCCCAGTGGCAAAATGTGAGTTTATGTAGTATTTACTATTAACATTGATAATGATTCTTTGTCCATATTCTTCATATTATCATATTTGGTAAACACATGGTTTGTACCCAATGATACACTGAAGTGGATGAGCTTATTGGCTGAGATCCCCCCAAAAATAAAGTACATTTCAAAGTAAGTATCTGGTCTGAAACAAGATACAAGAAACAAGATAACACCAGGTTGTAGGTCAGACTTGTGGACTGGTGTGATCCCAGTTAGAAAACATGTTTTCAATTTGTTTTTGGAGCAATAAATACACCTCTAAGACAAGCAGTGACATTCCCTTCTCCAGAAAAGTTATATAGTGCACCTTCAACTGTGTGAAAGGACCAACAACTGACATAAAGCATAAGCCATATAATCTCTTATAAATATCCTCACTCAATGACACCTCTGTTCAATGTAACACTGTACTGTGTATACACACACACACACACACACCCACACACACACACACACACCCACACACACACACACACACACACACACACACACACACACACACACACACCCCATGCACACGCACACACATGCATGTACTGTAGAGCATATGCTGACATGTCCTTCAGAGGATACCTGTCAACCCATAGCGGATTAGCATGCAGCTAGGAGGCAGATAGGGCTCCCACTGCCACCTGGACAGTAATAGACTATGTGTACTTTCATTTACAAGGGCCCTTTGATATGCCCTCCCTCCCAACTTCATTCATTCTCCCCTTTATTACTCCAGCATGGTTGCCATGACACACAGCACCATTTTAATTGCACCGCAACTGTGTGGACAGACTTTCTTGTTTAATGTATTTAGGCAAATACATTCTTTATTAAAGAAAAAGCTTATCTTCTATTATTAGAATATTCATCCTATGATAAGAGAACCTTCTACATTCTATTGCTTAAATGATTGCAGTGTTTGCACTGTGATGGGTGCGCCTATTGTAATTGTGTTTTCGATTAGGTTGTGCAGAACCCTCTGTCTTGTCAACATTGAGCTATACTGAGATATTCCAAACACTTTCTATCAGTCTTTCCAGGTGGTTTTGTTCCCTTATGTTGTGACATGTTTTTATGGCAGAGCTCTAAAAATCCCTGTGCCCTCTCTCCTTCGCTAGCCCACAGCTGCTGTCATCCTGGACTTCATGACTATGATGGCCATCTGTCACACTGCAGTACCAGAGCGCTCTGATGATACAATCACCTACCAGGCCGCGTCTCCAGGTAACCCCACTTTGGAAACTGACCAAGAGAAGTTAAATAACAGCAGTTTTATTTCTTTTCAATTGTCAGATAATCTCGCTCACATAACACTCATTTGGAAAGATGAGACAGTTACACAAAAATTGCACAACTCCCAAAGATTAGTGAAAATGTCTTTAAAAATATCAATAATCAGATATTAATTGATACTAAAACTATCCTAATTTTAACACATATTGGGGAAAAGAATCACTTAATCACAGTTAGACCTTTCTTAGTTGTTTTAGATTGGTCTATAGTAGAGCTGGTCCACATGGAAACATTAATGAAAATGAAAATACAGATTTTTTTGTAAATTATATTAGGGACCTTTTTGATTAAACAAGAACATTCAAAATGTTGCCAGATTGTGCTTTATCTTACTGATGCTAATACTGTGAACAAATGAAAACTATTCCTAAGATCACATGCTATAAATTAATATTTTTGTTAATGGAATGCTTAAAAATTCCACTGTAAACTTCTGGTTTCTGCTGCACTGTCTGACTTTAAAATGGCAAATATAAATGATAAAACTATAAGCAGAGAGCCTTTTCTCCCCCATTGGCAACCTCATGCTGGAACATAATGTACCTGGTCCACTGATTTCACTTGTGCCCTCATTGTCATCATTCTGTCCACATGAACCAGTTTGTGCGCTAAATACAAAGGCCTACTTTCTGTGCTGCACCACCTAACCAGACCTCAGTGTCCACTTACAACCTTTTCAATCTATTAAAAAAGTGTCTCTTTGTAGATGAAGGCGCTCTGGTCCGGGCTGCACGCAACCTTGGATTTGTGTTCTCTGGTAGAACTCCAGACAGCGTTATCGTGGACATTGTAAGTTATATTTTTTTGAGTTTCACAGAACAACATGGCTTTATAACGTTGCAGTTTGCTCATAGAATGTAACATAAACATGCATAAACAACCAGTAGTGCAAAGAGTTGGGGTAGAGAAGCCAGAAAAAACAATTTACTCCAGAGCGTATATATATAATATATATATATATATATATATATATATATATATATATATATATATATATATATATATATATATATATATATATATATATATATAATGATTCAGTTTGGTCGAAACACACTACAAAACTAAATCATATCAGGAAAACAAATTTTCAAATAATTTGTTACATTTAACACAGTGTCTCAAAACTACTCTGAGAATTACAATTTTAGTCTAAAGTAAGTAGTAGTAAATGTAACTGAATGTATCTACCCACCTCCGGAAGTGAAGTATTTTATGCAAGCAGCCACATAGAAAGAGTTTACAGTATAAACACTGTTATTAAGTTGCTAGCAGGTGCACGGGGTGTCCTGTCTATACTCAGGTCAATCTTCCTATTATTCTCTTAATTGGCTGACACAAAGATTGCACTCACTGAAGCAAAAGCACAAAGACCAAAACCACTTATCTATTTTGAGTCACCGCGTCTTCAAAATGTTTGCTCTGTTTTGCACCTTTTAATAGGCCTCTCTAAGCCATGCCCTTCTTTAATTGCTCTATCTTGTACCCAGCACTTTCTGGAATAAGGGATGTTAATTGAATTTTACCTTGTTATTCCCCTGCCATTATAGCCATTACATTAGGACTACAAACTGATAAACGCATACAGACTAAAATTAGGTTTGATTGTAATAAGGTTGCAGGGTTAGTTCATGTTATTAAGATACTATGTCACTGCCACAGTATATTAATAGAGTTAATGTTTCCCCTTTTTAGGTAGGAAAAGAAGAGAAGTATGAACTGCTTCATGTGTTGGAGTTTACAAGGTCAGTTGGATGGCAGACAATGGCCATATTGTAAAAATTGTACCTAAAGTGCATATGCCATGTTTTCAGATTTTTCTAATTATTGCTTAGTTTGGTGGGATAGTACCTGTGGTGATTTATCATAATTTTACACTAGTCCGGTGTTTCTATGAGTCCCTCATAGAAAACCCTCTGTCATCAATACACAAAATTCCATCCAAAATGAAGGGACAGTTTATGTGCATGAACACATCTTTTTGACTATATACACATTCATTTAACAAAACAAACCTTGTTTACAATACTTTGACCTCTACATAGGTCACATCTGATGCCCATAGCTGTGTCCCAATTTGATGGCTGCAGTCCTCGAATTGGGACATGGTGCATGTCACCTGAAAGTAAAATTACAGACTTCACCAAAATGTTGAAACTAGCAAAAACTAGGTATGATACTTTTGATATAATGTACTAATATAATAATAGTAATTCTGCTCAGAATATTTTAGTGGAATGTGTTGTGTAACCCATCATATGCACTTTAAATTACTATTCCTGTAACCCAAGGAAATGACACCATATACTACTACTGAAAAATTTCAAAATGTATGTGGTTCTTAACTGTAGCAGCTTAAACACCTCAGTAACAGGTCATGACTTGTTCTCATCCCATCCCTCTTTGTCTCCCTCTGTGATGTGACAGTGCCAGGAAGAGAATGTCCGTCATCATGCGCACCCCATCTGGGAAGATACGGCTCTACTGCAAAGGAGCTGTGAGTGTCTGTCTCTCACCATGGCAACACATGACAGGCCATCCCACAGTGTTAAATGCTCTTTGCCCAGTATCCACTTTTCTCTAGATCCTCTTTTAATATGGCAAGAGCATCATGTATTATCGTCTGTAAATTGTAATGAAGTTTTGATGAAAAGTTGATGATTTTGGATTATAGTGAAAAACAGCCATGGGTAAAGGTATTATAGTAAAACCCTACAAATAATTTTCATAAACATTTTTACCCCTATAGTTTGGAGATTCTTATATTTTGACTTCTCATATAAGACAGTGCTAAGCTGTAACTCAGCGGTACATTTTTTCAGGTTCTGATTGGGATCTGCCTCCTGCTAGTCACTATAAGATGATATAGACTGACCTAAAATTTTCCACAGAATGGCATTAAACTTATCTATCTTGCATTTATTCAATTGCAGGTATTATTGTTGTAAAAAATATATATATTGTAAAAAATATATTAATTCTTGCTTGGCCTGGTGGTGGTACAAGCTTCTCTCAGTGTTTAAAGTCGGACTGTGGAACATTCTTGTTTAGGTAACTCTACACTGAATCACTCCAGGTCAAATAAAAGATTACTCATCTTATTCTTGCGTAAGCAACAACATCCTGTTGGAGATATTAAGATGGCAGTTCCCCCAGAAAAGTTTCATAATGCACCTTTAAGAGTATGTCATATTTGCCATAATCCACTTTCAGTAGTATAACAGGTCCTGATAAATCTCTATGAGTGCTTGGTAATCATCCTCATTTCTGAAGTGTAGTGAATGTCACTTCAGTCTTGGTGAAAGTCATCCAAAGACACTCTTTTCTATGTCGTCTAATGTCTCCTCTAGCTTTTTGGAGGTTTGTGTAACCAGTACCCGTTTCCCTCTGTCCAGGACACCGTGATTTACGACCGTCTCGCAGACAGTTCCCGGTATAAAGAGATCACATTGAAACATCTAGAACAGTTTGCCACAGAAGGTGAGTGAGCAAATATACTGTCTACAAATATCTCTTGGGTGAATACATCTGTGTTAGTAGTTTACATGAATAATAATTTGTAGGAATGTGACAGAAACTGAATACATTCATTTATTTAGTTGTTTGAGGCTTATGGTAATGAGGTCTAGGCAAAGGCATTAGGGAGAGCCGCATCGGTCTCTTCTTTGTGTCTATACTGCCCCCTTGTGAGACATCGGCAAAATGATGTCATCCAGAATAGCTGATGAGAGCTAAAAATAGCACGCACGGATTGTCGCCCTATGGATTGGATTTTAAATAGCACAGCGTTTTTACTCACCAGACTGAAGTGTTTTATATGGCTGCACAGATTATATGAGGTCAGGTGACTAAACTTGCGTTATGTAACTTTCTGGAGGACGGTCTGTCACCTGCTTGTCTCCATAGAGATGTTTTTCTTTGCCTGGAATAAAATCTCATAGTATGACATTAAACTTACATATGGAGACAAGCAGATAATGTCACAGAAAGTTACAAGTCAGGTCTGTGGAGAGGAAAATAATACTGGTTGAATAAATGCCCCCCCAGAAAGGTTACCTAGAGAAACTTTAATAATAATAATAAAAAAAAAAAATTAAACAATATTTGTAATTATTTTGTTTTACCCAGGGCTGCGTACCCTTTGCTTTGCTGTGACTGAGATCAGTGAGTCGTCCTACAAGCATTGGCAAGAAATCCATCACCGGGCCTGTACATCACTGCAAAACAGAGCACTGAAGATGGAGGAGAGCTACGAACTCATTGAAAAGGTTTGTCAAATTGCTTTTTATTTAACATACAATACAAGGAGAAATACCAGAGGGTGGACAAATAGACTAAGATTGTCAATAGGTCTATATTAATTAAACAGTGTAATTGTGACTTGTCGACTATTCAATCAATTGTAATTGTGTTTTGATAATCATTACTGTTTATTAGACAATACAGACTCTAGCACATGATTGCTTAAAAATGATTGCATGCAATTATAAATATATTAAAATAATATATTATTTAAAAATAAAAAGCGAGTAAAAAAAAAATCATATACCCAAATACTAATCAGTGCTAAGCTAGTAAAAAGTAAAAATACTAAACCATTTATAAATTGGACAAAGTTTGACCTTTCCTGAATAGTTTCTAGATTGGTGTTTGGAACTAGGATAAGATCGTGAGGTAATGTTAAAAGATTTGTGTGAGAAATTATTGGAAATCTCAATCAGTTTTGGGCCTTTCTCTGGTGTTAAAATCAGATTTGAAATTTCAGTCTCACAACAACGCTAAAATAGATGTGTAGAGCATGTAAGCCTGAAAATGAGAAATGTGCAGACTTTATTTTTGCTGTTAGTTGAAAGAGGAAACAAGCTGCCGTATCACACCTGCACATCTGAACATGTGAGAAATGTAATGTTTATGTTGTGATGAGGTCTGAAGATTTAGGCAGCAGGTAGATTGGGTTTAGTGTGAGGTAGGTCTGAGTGGAAGCGGTCGTCAAACACAGGAAGCCACAGTCGTAAATCAAGCACTTGGCATGTCCTTCATGGTAGCTCATGGCTGCCCAAAACAAATGGAGGTAATCAATCATGAAATGCACTTAAATGTTTCTTAAAAGAAAGTTCAGTGTCCGTTGCCCGTTAAGAAAAACTGATGCCAATGTTTGAGGTTCAGTTTGGGGGGCATCTACAGTACAGTAAACACCCTGTGTTTGGCCACAGGGTGGAGCACTGGAGCTTTAGTTAAAACTCATCAGATTCTCTATGTATGGGAGTCAAAGTATTGAAGTTTGTGAACATTACATTTTTCATTATTTTATTCTTTTTTTAATTTTTATTTGTATGTATTTATTATGCAAAAGAAGAGATTCCCTGGGAGCTTCAAAGAACTGCAGAGTGAATCTCTTTCTTCTTTTGCACAATTTTTGTCTTTGGATCCAGCACGCAGTCATAATTTTTGTTGTCTCTATCTACCAGTAATGTATTTATTTTATTATGGTCATTATTTTATTTTATTTTCATTTTATTTTATTTTATTTTTTACAATTTTAAGTTGCACTGTGTAACCTTTTTGGTAGAGTGTCACCTACCTGTCACTTTGTCTGTCTGTTCTGCAGTATCGCATTAAATTGATCAATCTTAATGGAATCAAGCAGGGCATTCTACCTGGACATGTTACTGATCTGTGGAGAGGCGAGGCTGAATGCACAGTTTTAGCAATAAAAAACATGTAATTGAACAAAAGTAAAGTAGAGGGTATGCGTGGAACATTACAGCCAAAGCAACTCCACTCCCGACCTTCAAATGTCAGGTTCAAGTGAAGGAGAAATTATATTGTTCAACAGTACAATAAATTTGAAGTTTATTTTGATATTTTGATGATTGGGTTACATTCACAATATGTTAGACAGACACTGGCCCAGTAATAATGAAATAAAAGCTTGACATATTTTTAAAACTACTATAATAAATACACATGTCTACATTAGGGTTTAGTGTCCCTTCAGAGAATAAAAACCTGAACTTTTTATTTGCTTTAGCTGCAGGGATTCCTTGTTCACTATAAAACTCTCCACTGATCTACTATTACCACTTCATAAATTACATGTATTTTACTTGTTAGTCCCACCCTGACTTCAGGCTGAAATCATGATCCAAGCTGTTCCCACCACATAAATATTCCTCAAACAACCCTTATACTAATTTACAAATGGCAAATTATAGCTAAGCAGACAGTGTATTGTTTATCTTAATTTATAGTTAATTGCTTAAAATGAGTCAGGGCCTTGCTTTCACTTTCTTTCTGCTGCTGGTTCTCGTCTCTCTTTCACCCTGTGTTTTGTCATGGCCTGAGTTGTGTGATAGGGCTACGTGACCCCACAACGCGCCCTGATGAACTGCTTTATTTCCTAGGAAAACACCCGTAGTATGTTTTGGGTGGAAGTATGTGGTGCATCAATGATCCCAAACCGCTAGTGAACTTTTTGGGTAATAAACAAGAGCAGCTGATTAGAGGCGAAACATTCGGCAATGACATAATCCTGGTTCACATGTTTCAGTGACATATGACGATTCAAAGAGCTTCCTCCCACTTAATTAACACACTGGGTATATTTACATGGCCAGTAAAAATCAGATCACGCAATTATTAGATCTGATTTTTAGAAGACAAAGTACAGTAACGTTTTAAAGAGCCAATATCACGCTATTTTCTGATCTATGTTGTTGTTTCCTCATCAAAAACATACCTAGAGTTTTGTTTCATTCACACATGTTAAACACACAAATCCTGCAAATTCAGGGAGAGTTCTTCTCTCAAACAGAAAACAGTGTTTTACCTTGTGATGCCATGTGGTAATACAGGAAGTGCATCACTGTGTTTTTAAACTCCATACACTTTCAGTAGAATAATTTGAATGATTTCAGCCCTGAAATTTCCAGTCTCTCCTGAACTAAAGGTAAAGATACAGTAGCTGTTAACTTAAACTACCACTTCATGGCACCACAAGGTGAAACAGAGCTTTTTGAGCATTGTAGATGTAGACTGATAATCAAACTTGATTTAGTTAATGAACTCTTTCCATATTTAACATTTTATTTTTCATTTTTGTTACCACATTATTTTGCCCTTTTTTGTTTAATTTTCCTTGTCAAAACTTGCACAGGTGTGAACAATCTTTAAGAAATCAGATTTCTCTCATGCAACTGTTTACATGGCATATCAACAATCTGATAATTCCAGAAATCAGACAATGATCATATTTTTGGTGTGCTTGTAAACATAGCCACTGATCCCAAACCGCTGTACTCTCTTTTGGGTAATAAACAAGAGCTGCTGATTGGAGTCAAAACACACAACACTGACATAATTCTGGCTCACATATTTCAGGGACGATTTAAAGGGTTCTTAATTAAAGGCCCTGTATGCAATTTTTTCCCATGTATTTGAGCAAAATTGTGTTGTCTCTATGGTATATTGTATAAGTGGATCTTGAGGCTAAAATAAGTCTGTTGTGTGGTGTCTACATGTAATTATAAAGCGTTTTATTTTCCGTGTATCAGGAAGTATATGGTGGCATGCTAGTTATTGTTAGCTTTACCGTGACTGCAGACTTATCATTGGGATGCTCTGAATTCAAGACAAAATCTGGTACTGGTTTCTACTCACTTTGTCCATGTTTGTTTGTAGAACCTACAGCTGCTAGGAGCCACAGCTATCGAAGACAAACTCCAAGACAAAGTTCCCGAAACCATAGAGACGCTGATCAAAGCCGACATCAAGATCTGGATCCTGACTGGAGACAAACAGGAAACAGCCATCAATATTGGTGAGATCTGTGCTTTGAGCCTCAAGCTGAAATGCAGTTTCCAGTGCAGACAAACCTCTTCTCTGTTGGACACAATGCTTGAATAATGTTCAAGCAAAACCGCGGTCACAAACTGGACTTAAATTAAAAGTCCTATGCCCAACTTGTTAATGTATTTGAGTGAAATTTGTCTTGAAGTCTAAAACATCTGCCTGAATCTAATTTGAAAGAGTTTTATTGTCTGATATTCAGGAACTGCACGGTTAGCATGGTAATTGTGTCAGCATTTCCTTGACGACAAAACACACTCTGAGCTCTGAAAGTTGTAAAAAGGTTGAAGTACTGTACTCATTTCACTATAGTGCAGTTAACCTAATTCTATTTAGATTTGACTAAACAAAATATAAAAATAGTTTAAACTGTCAGAAAAATGCTTTCCTTACACATAAATTCTCCCTGCATTTTGGATGTAATTTTCATTATTGGTCATTGGTAGAGATTCTCCGTATTAGAACTCACTGTTACTTCCTTATTTCCTTTATTTCTGGACTTTTTTTCTCAACCTTTTTTCACAAGCTGCCACTTAACTGATTACTGTGATAAAACTATGGTGCCTATCTACCACAGACATAGTCCCAGCAAACCAAGTAATAATTAGAAAACCATGAAAACCTGTCATGTGCACTTACCGTTACTATAACCTTACCTGAAAATCATAAGTTAACTTGATATGCCACACTATTGGGTGAAACGCAGTCCAGAACAGGTCCTGCAGTCAGTTACTTGGTCATTCTTCATTCCTCTGGACAAACTACTGACAGCACAGGGTTTCCTCCTCACACGTATCTAGCTAAAGCATCGGTTGCAAAACATGAAATGATGTATGAGCAGACTTCACAGACCTGAAATAAATAACATGCATATGCACACAAGACTCCACCTCTCACACATGTGGCACTCTGGAGATATTACTGTTACAGATCTTATCAGGATGGCATTACTAATGTTGGTCCAGAAGTGACACCTACCTTTAAAACGTACTGCTGCTGTATGGGCTAATATGTGGCCAGCTACTACAAATAGATCAACTTTCTATACCCCTGACATATTAACACAGAGTTTAGAAAAATATATACCAAGAGTGGCTGCTTTTGAGACTACCTACCTCTGCGGCCGACTGAATCAGGCCTTTGTGTGGGCCCTGCCAAAAGCCAGAGAACTCTGCAGAAGCACAGGCTCTCTGGGCTGTCTTTCTACCGAGCAGCTCTGTAAAATCTCCATCTTTATATTGATGTTGTTTTCTGACATTTAACTCATAGAAAAATTATACCAATATAACTAGATTGCTGCAATGAGTCATTAAAATGTTCTTTTTGTGTTTTGGTAGTGAAAGCCGCATTTGGCACTGCAGTGTTGTCCTATATTAAAGCATCACTTTGACACAGAACAGCCTTCCTATTTGAGTGACACACCAGGCTCTGTAGACCGTAGACTATACACTCAACATGTTTGGTGTGTTCCCAAACCACCCTTGCATAATGTAAAGTCAATATTCTGACACACTGTCTGAGGGAGGAGGAAGGATTGCTCTGGGACACTGTCCCAAAGCACCGGCTTGTTGACTGAGGTGTACACATGTAATGCATAAGTCAGGTTGGTGCCAGAGATGTGGACTCTTTGACTTTGACTTTTGAATATGCTCCTGAAACTGAGCGTTTTAGCTATGCCATTAGTAATGATATCAGGAATTTTTTGAATCCCCTGAGATCAGTATTTGTTTGGCTTTGAGCATATGAAAGGCTTTTGAGTCAAGTGAACTGAAGGCAAGCACACTGAACAGAAGGGCTGGTACAGGAAATGACAAAGGGAAGGAACAGAGACAGTGTTGAGATGGTTATACGTTTTCCACACTTTGGCAGATTTTTGGACTTTTACACTTTTACTCTTATAACAACATTCCCTGAAGCCAGACCCAGCCCTGTTTGGAGCCCTGAAGGTGAAACCCTCTCATTTCCTTCATGCATGCAGCATGACCCCAGTGAGGTCCTGTGTTCACTCTGACCTTGACAATGAACATGTTTTATCCATATCACATTGAAAATGCCACCCATGTATCCATAGCACATTTGCTCTGTGGCGATCCCCTTAAGGAAAGTAAGCACTCTCCAGACAGAAGCAAAGTGTGGAAGGCCACAAAAATTCTGTGGTTGTGCCACAGATGGCAGCGCTACCTATAACTGTGGGATCCAGCTGAAAGCCTGAGTTTAGTTAGTGAACATTTCTCTTTTCCCTAATGGGATACCATCTACCACCTTGTTGCGACCCTCCGCCTCTGTTCCAGCCAAGAGCTCTCCCCCGAGAGCTGTGCTGGCCAGCCCACAGTTGTAACTGCCTATTAAAACAGGAAACTGACAAACCCTTGTAAACCAAACTCATTACTCATGTCCCACAGACAGTGACTTCAGGCTGTAAAACATAAATGCATTTTTAAGTCATGTACATGCATATTTAAAGGCTGTGTCCAACACACAAGCTAAGCACGCAAGGACAATAATAATCTATCATTTAGAAAATATGAGGGTAAAGCCGGTAAACAGAAATGTCCCAATAACAATCTGCAGCTCATATGTACTGTGTGTGTCTGCTCCTAGGACATTCCTGCAAGCTTTTGACCAAGAACATGGGGATGCTTGTGATCAACGAAGACACTCTAGATGTAAGTATTGTCTTGACTTTTCTCATTTTACACTCTGTCAGACCATCAAACATCAGAAGAAATAGAAATGTGAATATAATATAACATTATTCACCTTTTAAATTTCTGTATACCCTCCACAGTCAATGTGTAAGTTTCTCTACAATTTAGCCATAGCAATTGCTGCAATCTCTGCCTCCCTCACAACTGAGAGGAAGATCAGCTGCCTGCAGTATATCACGGGATTCCAAGTTTCATAACTCCCCCATATATATTACAATGTTTCACCAGTTTTATGATTTGGCCTATCCCTACCCCTGATATAACTAAAAAAACTAGAGGACTGAAGCTGCAGGAAGCATTGGAACAGCACTGCCCCACTACACATCCCCAAATCTCCACTAAAGCATTTAAGACACCCAGCAGAGAAGAGTGCTGACCCCCCAGCAGGACCGTCTTGTCTGTTGTTTCTACATTTGCAAAGGGCACGTCCCAACACCGGGAGCAGAGAAAAAAGGCTTAAGCCCTCAATCCACAGATGGTGCTGAAACCTAGCCCGGTGGAGTCTGTAGCACGCGGGGGCAGAGGATGTGAAGGGGGGAGGGACGGGGGGTACGCGAGGGTGATGACGGACAGGCTTCACTCTGTCATCTACTCATTTGCAGTGATAAATGGAACCAGTGGTAGAAATCCGGGGCCTGCTGGTGCATATTGTATGTAAGGCGGGCTCTTTGAAATGTCAGCTCCCATTCCTGTGTGCCTGAACAGATGCTTATATAAGGCAGTTTGTTAGAACGCAAACAAGGGGAAAGTCTGCGCTCCCAAATCAGGCAGAGAAAGCTGTGTGTGTGTGTGTCTGTGTGTGTGTGTACCTGATGTGTGGTGTATGTTAGTGCACTCATGCCACAAACAAGTAATTTTGAAGCTTGTTTCTTGTTGTTTTTAGCTGGTTATCATAGAGGAGATGACATTTTTTCGCTATTCTGAACTTTTAAAGCAAAGTTGGTACTGGCTGTAGTTACACTGTATTTCAGAAGTGAAAAAAATGCGTTATGGAAGTGGCTGAAATGGTCAAAAAATGAATATTGATATTTTTTGGAGTATACTGATATCAGTAACAATCAATAATCACCCGATATTTTGTCAGTCCAAAAGAATTGTGTTAAACATGTCTTTATATGTAACAGTTGATGTTCAAGTGTATAAATATAACTTTACTGTAAAACCAATCAACTTTCAGCATTGTTTTTATAATGATGATGATACTCTCAATATTAAATTTTTTTTATATCTTCAAAACAAGATTCACAACATTATCAAAATTTGTGTCTACCTCCAAGTCTGTGCTTGCCCAAAACCTGAATAAATGGATCAAATTGTAGGAATGAATGACAAAATCAAGCTGTAAACTACAATTTGCATGTTATTGCTTTGCCTGGAATGTCCCACAGTGTGGCATTTATTTAGATTTATTTTAATGTTGATGTTTTTATTATTCAAAAACATGCATTCTTATTTTGAGCTTTGTTGTTGGTCCACTGATATGATCTGTAATTTTAGCCTGGTGGCGCTTGCTATTTTTCCATGTAGATTGTAAATTTAAATTCATACGATTGAACACTCCAGGCAAAGCAATAAGTAGTGCAATGTCCACCATGAAGTTACGGTAAAAAAAAAAAAAAAGCCCTTTTGAAGTGGCACGTACCTCAAAGCAGTAATCCTGCCTTATTTGTGAACATCATGTCTAACTTAAGTTAAGACTCTCCTCGTGGGTGCCCCAAATGTGAGACAGATGATGACATTTCTTCCACACAAATGTCCAGATTCCACATCCTGAGTGTCACGTCCTGTTGGCCGTATCACTCAAGGACTATATCAACAGTGAAGGCAGCTCAGTTTTTCTGGACAGCTCTTGTAGATTGTGAATGGACACCACATACCAAACCATAGACAGTCACACAGGCTAAACTGGCCATTGTAGTCATAACAAAAAGGCTTTAGGAACACACATACAGCATAAGCACTAAAATTCCCCTGTGGAAATGAGGGGGGAATAACTGCTGCACTTGAGGAAATGGTAAACTTTACTTAACACACCACATGATAAATTACTTCTCCAAACTAAGTGATCCTTTTCTACACAGTTTGTTAGATAAATTTTGGTTACATCTCCTGCCTTTTACAGCCCGTCCTTTGCCCTACCCTCTTAGCCCCACCAGGGATGTCTAAATCCTCCCAGCTGCTCCGCGCTTGTATCCTCTTGCTCAATCTCTCTCCTCTGTTAATCCATCATCTCTTTTGCATGTCTCTCTCCCTCCTCTGCTTTGTGAAACTTAAAGCTCCGTTCTCCAAATATTTCCTTAAAGCTGGGGTTTCAGAGTTTTGTTATGCCAAGTGAACATTGTACGGTCCCATTGGTACAATCTGCCTGCGCTGACATATCTGACCTTCACCAGCCTGGGCCCCTCCTGCTTTCACTGGAGCTAGTGGCCAATATTTTCTAATGATTACAGCTGTTTAAGCATCTGCCAAGCACATTGAGCGTTGTACCTTGCAGTGTGAATTTTTATTATTCATGCAATTGAAAGTTATAAATCATTTTATAACTTGTTTGTTTAATGTAGATCAGTCCAATTCTCTTGTTGTATCATTTGCAATTAAAAACATTAGACAGACACATGTAATGACATTTTAATATGCAATAGTCATGGTTAAGAAAATATACACCCAATTCACCTGTGCAGATGTCATTGTAATGACTTCAGCATCTGGTGAATGATTTAGAGATGTATGCCATGGTGATGTCATAGCTCTACCCAACAAAGTGCAAAGACGGGTTATACACATTTTGCTCAAATCGTGCCTAGTTTTTTCTACTTTTGAGTTTATAATTTTACTTCTTGATTAGACATGGGCAGTAGCTGTGACATGCATAGAGGTGATTCCAACTGGACTAGACTATTAAAGATAAATTAAGACACCTTTCTGTTTAATTTTCCTGAAAAAAATTGTTCCTTACACATAAATTGTAACTACTTTCGGGTGGAATTCTGCTTTAGAACTCACCGCTACTTCCTGCATTTTCTTTTCAGATTTTATTTTCACAAACTGCTTGCCTGGCAAATGCAGAACGATATCTCTCTGTATTTTTATACAGATTGATATCAGTCTGGACCCCACACCCTTTGTCGCGTCTCAAGCCCAGCCAAATGTGATCTTGCAATCAGATTAGCTTTTTCAGTGGCACATGTGAAGCAAACAAGCTCAGTGGTCACCTATGATGTACAAATAAAATCAAATGTATCGTCTCAGATTAACAGTTTAGTGCTTGTTTCATTGACAAAAACTTGTAAAATATTGAAGTGTGATACTATCCCATCAAACCAGGTACTAATTAGAAAAACAGAAACCTGTCATATGCACTTAAAGCTTTTGTCATATTTAATTCTTCCACTCTCACTCATCATCTGAAACATGAGCCATTCTCTGCCTCCTCCAGGGTCCATCTTTTTGGCTATGGCCCTAGTGTTAATCCTTACAACCATTGCAAGTCATTATTTTCTCTAAATGTTCTTTACACTATGTATTTAAGCCATATACATGATTTATAGGCCCTTTAAGTTGAGTTATTTGGCAGTGAGAGTACTCCTTAATATTTTACCAGCAAATAATGCAATACAAATGCTTCACCACATCAATCATATGGTATGTATTTCAAGCAAAGAACTTAACAAGGAAACTTGAACAAGGAAAGAACAATGTTGTCATTAACCCCAATTATTTTAAAATGTTTAGTAGACATCTTTACCATTATAGGGTGTTATGCCAACTTAAACTACATTATAATGTTTATTTATTTTTGTCGTAGGCCACACGGGAGACCCTAAGCCATCACTGTGGAATGCTGGGGGATGCCCTGTACAAGGAAAACGACTTTGCTCTCATTATTGATGGGAAGACGTTAAAGTACGCGCTCACGTTTGGAGTGAGACAGTACTTCCTAGACCTCGCCCTGTCCTGTAAAGCGGTCATATGCTGCAGGTAAGATTTACTCCTCAAATAATATAAACCTCCCATGAGAAAAATTGTACATATATGTTGCCAACTCTGTAAGCACTTCAACATGGTAACTTTCAGAATGACAACACATTTTAGGGATGCAAGATTGATTTTTATTTATTTATTCTTTTAAGATTAGTCATTTATTTATTGCAATCAAATTGCAATTGAAAATTTGGACACTACTGGCAAATCGCAAATATTTCTATAACATTACTTCTGCAAGCAATTATATATCCTGTCTTCTTCCAGTTTACAATATAATCTCAAGAGACTTTCTGGGTTATCCATCACAGGCAAAACTTTGGTCAACAAAAAGCTTCAGTGTGGGAAGATGGTTGCCCCTCAAGTTATAAAGTAATTTTAGTGAAGCAACAGTTACAGATTGAGCAATACGTCTTAAAGGTGCACCATGTAACTTTTCTGGTGGTGAGTCAGCCACCTGCTTTAAAATGTATATATGTAAATAAATGTAGCCATCTTGCAGTTTTATCTTTTTTAATCCTGAAAAAACGTGCATTTGAATTTTTTTACAGTGAGGGTTGGCTGGGGTGCCAAAATCGCCTCTCCACAGATCTGACCTGTTAACTTGACCACCTGGTAATAAGGGGGCAGACATTACAAGTTTATTCTTCTTTCTATTCCTTTTCATCCACACTGATTTATGTAAAATTATTTATTGTCTTAAATAAATAAAACAATTTTATTAGTAGGTTATTAATACAGGTTATTAATGCTGAAGACTTACTTTGTGCTGGGTTGCCTACTCTCCCCGCCACAGATCTGACCTGTAACATCACCTATGGGGGGAGTCTTGTTTCTGCAGAGATAGACAAGTTTAAACATTTTGTGCATATTTTGGAGGAGTATTCATGGAGACGAGCAGGTGGACTCTCAAATATAGTTATGTAGGGCAACATTTATAATATTAGTGAGTGAAAGTGAAAAAATTTGGTGTTTGAATACTGTCTTATAGACCCTTAACTTTGCTTAGAGTTATACCACTCAATAAGACCACCGTATTTACTTTTAGGGTGGTCCTCATTTTCACTGTCTACACGCTTCACTGTGCTGTTCAAAGTGAAGGAAGAGCTTTGCGTTTGCCAAGTGCTGATCTAGAGACATTTTTAAAAGATTATGTTATTTTATGCAAACCCCAATCATGCTGCCCTGCTCTGCTGAAGAATGAACGTGCACATCTCATTTCTCTTTTTGTGTATATATTCCTATTGCTATTCCTCATGTGTTCCACCTTTTCTTTGGCACTGCTTTTTGTACTTATATTAAACAGACATCCAATGGGTTTTTCCTACTGAAATGCAGAGGTGGGTAGAGTAGTCAAACACTTAACTCGAGTAAGAGTAACATTACTTTAAATAATATTACTCAAGTAAAAGTACAAAGTAGTGGTCTAAGAAATTAAATTAAAAAAAAAAAACATATTTGGGAAAGTAAGAGTAAAAGTATGGTGTCTAGGTTTGTCATGATTATTTATATCTAGACTTATTCAGTATATCAGAGATGAACCAATATTTTTTTCATGTTCAAAATGATAGCATGCATTTTTTTTTTTTCTTTTTTGTTGTGTTAAGCCTTTATGATGACATCTGAGTGATTGGTTTAATAATTAACATATATTTCACATCATAGATACTACTTAAGTGTTTAATAAAATGTGTTAATTTATTTATTTATTTGCTATTACAATATGGAAAAAGGAATACTGGGATTATCCTGCTTTATTCAGTCCAATCCAATCCACTTTATTTCTACAGCACATTTCACAAACAGTTTCCAGAGTGCTGCACAAATACATAATAATAAAAAGAATAAAAATATACAATAAATTGAACTTAATCATACTAGTCTTAAAATAATAAAACCAGTAAAATAAAATGAGAGCAGAATCATAGAATAGCAATAAATAAATAAAACCTATAAAATACATAAAACATAAATAAGATAAGTAAAAGACACAGAGGACCACACAACTCATGCGGTGTTAAAAGCCGAGAATAAAAGTTGGTCTTAAGACTTATTGTTACTGTCTCAGTGGTATGAAGTACGTTCAATATTATCATTTACTGTGGTGTTTTTCTGTAGCATTATATCATACTTGTGATGCCTGTTTTTGTGACAGATTACTCAAGTAAATGTAAATTTAACTGAGTACTAAACACCTCTGCTGGAATGACTGGATTTTCTGTCTTTCAGAGTGTCTCCCCTTCAGAAGTCCGAGGTGGTGGAGATGGTGAAGAAACACGTGAAGGTGATCACATTGGCCATAGGTGACGGAGCCAATGACGTGGGCATGATCCAGACGGCTCACGTGGGAGTGGGGATCTCAGGGAATGAGGGGCTGCAGGCCGCTAACTCCTCCGACTACTCCATAGCGCAGGTGAGGCAAGTTGCCAAGACACACATAAATTGCGATGATTTATCAGCTGCCAAAGATGGAAGATGGTATTAAAGTAATTACTTCCATATTAAGTCCTAAGAATTGATACATTCAACAATCTATAAATAACCACTTAGGGTACAGATTAGTTGTGTACTCCTATATTTTTACTCTACTTACTTGCCTACTGTTGTCTTATATTTTCATTATTATAAAATTTTTTGTATCTTAACACTTTACTAATATTCTAATTAATTAAAATGGGATAAACTTAAGTTAATTTTTAATACTTGTTTATCTTTGTTTTTATCGCATATTTCTATTCTCCTGCCGAACTTCTTGAATTTCCTAATTGTGAAGAAAAATAAAAGTTCTCTTATCTTTCAAAAACAGAACCTTGTAAAAACAGTTAATCATAGCTTTACAATTGCCAAGCTTAGTCATTTCTAATCGTCAATGATCAGCATGGGTCCTTTTAATAAAGAGGTCTACAGCCAATCCTCTGTCAGTAAAAGCATTTGGTTTCGAGTAGATTTTTGACACTATTTTTGTGTTAAAGGTGCACTGTGGAACCTTTAGGTTTAGGGTCACCTGCTTGTTTCAGTGGATATGTCATTCCTCTGCCTGGAATGTTCCACAATATGACATTAAACAGTTCTAGCTTACATGTATTCAGTTACATGAGGTTTTATAGCTCAAAAATACCTAGAAAAACAGGTATTCTGACTGAGTGGGGTTGCTCTTCTACAGATCTCACCTGTAATTTGGCCTGGTTTGGTCTCTATGAAGATTTAATACCATACTGTGATATATTCCAGACAAAGTATATATATATATATATATATATATATCGCAATAAGACTAAATTAAACATAGTGATTGAACAATATTAGAAAATGCATGTATAGTTGTCATATCACCCACCCCTAAAAGCCCTACATACTGTTAAGGTGTGAACACAGTATGCTGTCAGTCCTGAAATTGATTTATACTCATGGGGCATAAACCAATACAATACACCCAAATATAGAAGGGATGGCTCTTGGGAAGATGTCCTTTCCCTGTAACCTTTGTGAGTTATTACGTTTTAGAAAGTAGATGATTTACTGTAGCAGGCTTGGGGCTAAAAATGAAAGAAGCAGATTAATTACTTGATAAATTCGATTTTTATATTAAACACTTTAACAATCACCTTACGTCAACTCTTGTGAATAGTTCATCTAAATTGTTTTTGTATCCTTTGGCTGCTTCGTTTGTGTGACCTCAAAAACTCCCCGAAAAAAATATTATCCACCCCCATTATCACCGCTGTTAATTTCTAATCCACAATAAGACAAATTCCTGCAGCTGTCATTGCTGTCATTATGCTCTCAAGTGTAATATGGGATACAGTATCCTAACACATTGTTCCTGATAACAATAGATTAAATGACTGGCAGGGCTGTAGCTTATACAGTTGAGTAGTTACACCTGTAGAACAAGCATCCACTGATACCCAACTCCCAGCACAACCAGAAAGAGATCCAGGCAGTACGTTATTAAAATGCTTGTACTTGGATGCCCTAGTAACATCTCCTTAATGATACAAGCTGTCGTTATGCGATACACAGACGCAACAATAGCTTTTGAGTTCCCCTCCTGTAGCTTTGTCAGTGCGTAACATGCCGCTCTGTACCTCATGTTACTACTGTAGCCAAAGGGTCTGAAAGTTATGGAAACCAAGAGTACACAGTAAACTTTCTGTGTCCCAGTGCATGACTTCCCAATCAAGAGCCTAGGGTTTGTCTCAAGTGCACTCTTAAATCCACATGACATGTTCAAGTGCGTGCCATTCAAACAGGTGGCCCCTCACTGTATAATTAGTTTAGGTCCAAATAAAGTTATACCAGCAGCTCTTCTATAAGATGTTTGCGTGATGGTACATTGACTGCGATTTGCCGAACACAAATTGTGAAAAGTGAAATCAATCTTGGGTGGTTGCGTAACTTGTTTTTCTGTTCCTGTTTCTAATTGCATAATTTGTATCAATGTCCCAGCTATCAGTGGAGGCTATTGCGTTCTGTCAGTTTTGAGTGGTTCGGTTTCTGAGATGTGAAAATGTGCCTTTGTCCATTTAGCTTAGATTTGAGAAGATATTGGAGAATAAAGACTTGGCTTAAAGCTCCCCTGCGGTCTGTCTGTCATCAGCTAAAGTCGGACTGATCCCACCATGTGAGGATTGGGGATAAATGTGCCAATAATAGGCTTTCATTTTTCTTCTACTTTTTTGTACATACAAGAGTAGAGTTTTGTAGGCTACACATTTCACTAAAACCTACTTAACGCGTATTGGCCATAAATTGGCTTCCTTGTTGTACATGGGCAGCAGTTTACCTACACGCGCAGCAGATTACCTAATTGACCTTAAATTATTATTTATACTGTCAGAAAAAAGAAAAAAAAATCCTTTCCTGTAAATTGTTGCATTTTAGATGTAATTTTGTGTATATATGACATGGGAAGAGTTTCTTTTTTAATTCAGTGCTGCTTTTTGTATTTTTTCTACCTTTTCCATCAATATTTTTTTTTACAAATTGCCACTTTGTCTCATTTGAAATTGTTATAAATAATGACCACAGGTACTATTCAACCAAACAAAGTAGTAATTTGAAATAACATGAAAACCTGTCATATGCATTTTAAACTTTACCTTGTAAACTGCAAAACATCTGCAACTGGCCTCTGCTCTAAAATAACCGTAGTTACCACCAGCTGAAATTGCTCTAAATTGTGAGTTCACCGGGGCCGTAATAGCAGAATGATTAGAAAGTCATTTAACAATTATACAGACCCCTAGAGACCAATGTTATTATGCAATTTGCAGAAACCCGAATCTTGGTTTTAGGTTGTTGATATCATTAGACAGGAGGTTTTTTTTAAGTTAACTCTTCATTAGTCATTCAACCTTTTCCATAATGTCCTTGATTCATGTGGAGGTTTTTTGGAACAGGATTATTGGATTCGGTTAAGTGTTGCTGAGTGATGAGCTACTAGAATATACACACTGTACACAGCCTGTTGCTAATAATGTTTTATCTATGTGCTCTCTCCCGCTTTCTTTCCGCCCTCAAAGTTCAAATACTTGAAGAATTTGCTGCTTGTGCACGGAGCCTGGAACTACAACCGCGTAGCCAAGTGCATCCTGTACTGCTTCTACAAGAATATTGTCCTTTACATCATTGAGGTGAGTCTCAGTTTAAGATGTTTAAAGGGGACATGCTGTGTAATATTTACTAAACATGCACTGAGTGTCTGTCACCTGCTCATCTCCATAGAGAGGTCATTAATGTTCCACAGTATGGCATTAAACTTTATATTCATTGAAACAAGCAGAGGACGCCAAGTTGCAGGCCAGATCTGTGGAGAGGCAACCCTGCTTACAATAAGAATGCATGCATTTTTTGAGCAATAAAAACAAAATAAATGAAAGATAGATCATTTTAATGCCATGCTGTGTAACATTTTATGCCAAGAAAGTCACACACCCTTAAAGAATTTTAACCACATTATAGTTGTTTTCCCTTCGCATTTACACACACAGTTATATTTAAAGTGATTCATACATGCTCGATTCATCTTTATTTTCTGCTTTCAAAACCCATTTTTCCAAAAATTCCTGTTTTCCCATTCCCATTTCCCATTCCTATACACACCCACTGCTCTTTATTTGCTTAATTCTCCGTTTTTATTTCTTACACAGTGGTATACATAGGATTCTGCAGCATAACTAAAACTTAAAAAAAAAATAAAAATAAAAAAATAAAAACTCTACTTCCTTTTGTGAACTGTAACTTTCCATAGACTGTTCATCAACCTGGGAGCATGGCACCTCTTTGTGATGACGTTTACAGTGACGCACGCAATTTGAAATATTCATAATATTAAATTACTGTCCATGGGTGTCATAGATTAAGTATATTGCATGAAAACGCATAATATGTCTTCTTCAAGTTGTTCAAAGTTGGTATTTCTTGTTGGCATTTCCATGTTTTTATTTCTGATGACTGGCTCTTAACATGAGCTGCCAGTCTCCGATGAGCATTATGAATGGTTTCGCTTCACCATTTTGACGCGGCTGGACAGAAAACACAAAAAACAAACACACCTCGTAATGAAGGAAAATTATCTAATGAACTGGATGTATGCCTGGAAGCTCCACTAGCCTTGAAGTCTCCCTCCGTCCTTCTACTCTCAAAATGGACACACACTTGAAGTCTTTTAAAGTCCTTTCAAATGAACCAGTCACCCACATATTAATGGCGCATGCTGTTTACTCCATAAATCATTGCGAGTTTGTTGGCTTTTGACAGAGAGCAGAGACAGTCATTGCTACAGGCTCGGGCTCTAACTGAGAGTGAGCAGACAGATGAAGTGGCCCCTATCAGCACTAGCCCTATCTCTGCTGGTGCTGGGAGGGTTTGATCTCCATGCACTGGTCTGACAGCTGCTGAGATCTGATATAGCCCTTTCTGTCTTCTGCCCATGGTTTCTCAATGGAGTAAAATAAGTAAAAACATATTGCGTAGGAAACTGTAAAGGCTGTGGTTTTTTTAGTGCTACAAAATGGAGCTTGGTGCATTGCAAGTTCAAATGCGTATGACACAAAGGATTTATAACACTGAACTTCATAGTATGAAGTAACACTATGAAGAGTTAAAAATAGTTCGTTTTGAAATGATTATTGAAGTTTTTATTTGTCGTTACGTAAAGCACTTTGCTACCAGCGGCATTAAAGGACAGGTCAAATGCAGGGGACAGATTTCCTTATGCTGACAACAAAGTGCCGTAAAATTAACTTTGTGTATGAATCATGCTCTACAAACATTATGTCAATTATGCCATGCTTAAAATCCCAATAGCATAATAAAAGTGTAATTGTTGGATTTATTATTAGTTTAGTATTGGATTTTTTTTTGTTATTTTTTGTTTTGTTTGTTATTTGCTATTATAGAAATGTATGCAATTGACCCTTCCTTCAAATGTTAACTAATCATATTGGGGCAGATCTTTAATTCTGCTACATTTCGTTGTAATATGAGAGACTGGTAATGACCATGTTTTGTATTATGAAATATGGAAACAAGGCTGCAATATGCTTTTGTTATATCAGTTACTATGCTATAATATACTAACAGTACCATATGTTTCTAGAGTGGCCCAATTGCATTTAATAGAATATGCCAATTCTTTTTGTATTACAAATCTTGACATTTGGTTTTTGTGGTGGTGTTATTTCTGAGTATTTATTCCACATATTGCACAAAGCCAAAGTAAAATTACATTTGTTTCAAATTAAATCTTCTTTCCCTAAAACATATGCTAGTTCATCTGTTGTAGATGATCTCAATTTTACTTAAGCTTCTGTAATTTGCCCAATGTTTACTCACAACAAATCAACATTTTTGCATTCTGTTGTTTTCAGTCTGCCTCGTCTGTGTTGTGTTGAAATTGGAGAGTTGTTCTGCACAACACTGATGTTTAAGGGAATTTTTGTAACCAAGTATGTGTAGCTGTTTTCTTACAATGTCACTTGGTCTAGCACACCTTTTGTGGCTCTTTGAAAAACATAACATGCCTTCCCCTGTAAAACTCCTTCAGGGGATTGAAAAAGATAGCACATTTTTCACTCTTTGGCAGCCTCAATATTTCAAATGTCCCTGGTTTGTATTACCCCGGCTGCTTCCCACAGTACCAGCAACCGGAGAATACCGCTTAATGCTCAGTTGGATCGCTAATAGGTTTACTGTTATGCCTGCATGTTTCCTATTGACTTTTAGTAAAAAAAGTCACGGAAATTTAAACTTTTGTGTTTGCCGCTCCACTGTACAAGACACTTTCACTTTCTCAATACTACGTCTTAGCAAGTTTATGTTTAAGCCTCTTTTTGTCTTGGGCTTATTCCACTGGCATTTGATTTCTTTTAAAGGGTATAAAGGAGGAAGGCATAGGAATTTCTACAATACACGAATGTCAGTGTACTTATTTTTTTGACTGGGTTTTGCAAAGTCTTTGGCAAATTTGTGCTTGAATTGCAGATGGCGAAGCAATAGCATGGTTCTTTTCAAACTCCTTAAAGAAAACAGTCATTCATAAACCATTTAAAATTCTAAAGCAAAATTGAATAACAAGTCTAGTGTTATTTAATGATTTCTTTTTCTGGGTTTTGCCAAGTCTTAGATTGTCCCAAATTTGTGCTTGACTGGCAGATGGTGGCGATAGCATGGTCCTTTTCAAACTGAAAATCATGTTGTTATTCCTATTACTAAAACTCCTTAAAACAATAATTCATAAACCATTCAAAATTATAAAACAAACTTCAATTATAAGACTAAACCAATAATTAAATGTTGCAAAAGACTCAAAATCCCAGCTGGCCCTTTTAGTTTGACTGACACATTTTTAGGAAGCTACAGAATTCCCTGATGGACAAGTGGCATTTATGAGGCAATTGCACGAAATCTTTTCCATTTGGTCTACATTAGCTGTGGAGATTTTGTACTATTATTACCCTGAATGAAACCATAGAAACTTTGCCTGCCATTGGGGGCACAGCTCGCATTTGTACTTTTGCATATTTCCACCATATTTCTCAGCTCCTTCTGTATGCCTCCCTTTATCCCACTCTTGCTTTGTGCATAGAGTCCATCCATTGCCAATTCCGTAGCATAAAGATTAAGAGTATCCGAACTTGCATCTCGGGGACAAATGTCACTCTCCCACCAGATACTTTAAGTCGAGCCTTGTGAAGCTATGCATTTGGAATCAGTGATTTTTTGATTCGCTACTGATGAATATTCAACGAAGTCTTCTTATCGCCACTGCCCAATTCTCCTTTTCTTGGCTCCTACTTTTGGTCCGTCGCTGTTTTTCACGATGTGCACTGGGGGAGAGAGGCCAGCCACTCCCCTTCGCTGAGTGGCTCTCAATGAGGAGAAGAAAAGAAGAAGAAATACCCAGGCTGGGACTTCCCTTAATGAGCAAATCAATGCATCTGTCCCTCAAGAGAAGGCTCGAAGAGGGAGGGAAGAGAGGCAGCGCTATTGGGACCCCGAAGACCAGGCCAAAACACTTGCACGGAGCCAGTTACCACATGCTATGAATAGGAACCTTTTTAAACTTAGCACAACAATATATCAGCCCAGAGCCTCTCATTGAAACACGCTGTAATTAATTCAGCAGTTTGACCTACCCGCTAGCCCCTCGTTACCAGTGCTCGAGCCACGCTAATGGTTCAACCTGCCTCATGGCTTCAAATTCATCAAACATAACCCATAGCAACGACTTTGCAATGCGTCTCTCACCAAAGCCTACCTCCGCCTATCATGCCATGCCAAAACAGTAGTCCTCTCAGAATGTAACCTGTCGTGTTGAACAAAACACATCATGGTAGAATGCACTTGTTTCGAAAGAGGGTGGAATTTTTTATTGGTTGGTGGGGTCCACAAGCAGGTCATGTAAAGATATTCTGAGCTTTTGAAGTAAAGGATGGGCTGTCATTTATTCCTTCTGCAGAAGCTTCAAATGTGATTATATGGAAATGTGCTATTGGCATTCGCCTTTCTGCCAGTCTGAGAATTTCTGCAATTCATGACAATGCCTTTAATGATATTAAATAAAGCAAGGACACGCTAGTTTTTCTGTAGCCAAAACACAGCTCACCTTTTGTTCCTTTGACAATTTGGATAACTAGGCTTGTCAAATAAACAATACGTAGATGCTAAGAGATTCTCAAACCAGTAATGAAACTACCGTAATAATGTGAATAGGTATTGGTTTTGACAAAATCACATAGGCCAAAGTTGGTCATTTTCTTAAACAAATGTATTATTATTATTATTATTATTTCATGTTTAAAATAGCTTTTATTATATAGTATATATTATTTTATTAATTATGATTGCGGTATTTGAATTGGTATTTGGTGTTTTGAAGGTTTTAAATTTTAGTACTCCACAAATTACTATCTATTCATAAATAAGTAGTGAGTAAGTCAAAGTAAAGTGAATTTTATAAGCAGAATTGTGTTACAAAAACAGACCACTACATGCTATTTTCTTTTATTTAAAACACAGAACACATTTTATCTATTGTAAATTTGTAAAATAAGAGTCATCACTATGAGGCTTTGGGATAAGGGCTGTGTAAGGGTAGTCCATCCTGTGTCTGAAAAAAGATGTTCTTAAGCTGTGCTAGTGGCCAAAAAAGTCATGAATATTCTAGTAATGGGCTAAAGGACCTGTGAGAGCTAGTTACAAGTTAGTTCATTTTAAATGCCTACTTTTCCTTTCACGGACAAAATCAGTTTCCCCAACTTTAACTGATGCACCAAAAAGCATACATTTTTGGCAAGTTGTTATAAACATGTTGCTCTTTGGTCTTTTGTAACCTAAAGTACATCCATCACAGTATTTTGTCCTAAAGTACATGACCGTCAACTCCAAATACATTTTCCCTCAGTGCGACAAGTGTGACTAATAGAGATGACCGCGTATGGTTCACATTACCACTGTCTCCATCTTCTGACACAATATATCAAAGTCTCCATCGCTCAGTCTCTCAGCCCTGGCTCTGACCCCTTAACTTACCCTGTCCATCATCCCCATGTCATCAGTCTGATCGTGGAGGGAACAGCACGGCTTGACAAACGTCTGAAAGTAGTCCTGCTATAAATCCACAGGACAATTTGTGTTACGGAGATGGCGTCTGGTGGTCCTTCTTGTCTAATTTCAAACTGTCCTCGAGCATTTTTCTAAGTTTGAAGCCAGACCCCCGGTTACTGCTTTAAATGAGTATGATTGTAAAGACTACCAGCATGGAAAATTAAGATAATTGGATGATGTGTTGCCTCTGCTGTGTAGAAATGTGGGCATGGATGCCTGTGAAAAGGGTTATGTGACAGAAATGTATTATCTATTATTATTGTATCATCAGTATTATAATGATGGGTTAGCTGGATTGCTTGTTAATCAGAGTTACATTGACAGATTCATATATATTCAAGTAACTTTTAAAAATGCACCCAGGTCTGGGCACAGGTCAGCATTTAGCTGCTTCTGATGTCTACTGCTGTTGTCCCACTGACAGAGTTAATATAGTAAATCACTATACACTATATACATTATAAGTACACTATAAGAAGTTACTGTGGGCTGTGGCAAAATCTAATGAAAAAGGCTATTTTTAACAAAATTGTATTTCATATTAAAGGTGCACAGTGTAACTTTGGTAGGGGTCCATTGATATTTATTTGCCTATGACAGGCAATATGGCATTAAAACATATCTATCTTACATGTATTTAATGATAGGTGTTTTATTTCTCATAAAAACATTCTTGTGAGCCGCATTTGACCATGTAACATTAAAGCCCTCTGAAGCAAAGCCATAATGTCTCTGTGGAGACAATGAGATGGGACACCCTCTACCAGAAAATTTACAGTGCACTTTGAATGTATCTGTATATTTTACCCAAAAGCCCATGAAAGAACATGTTTATAAAGTCTTTCTAATCTGACTTGCTTTGCTTATTTTCTTGCTCTAATGCTCTGATCCGTCTGTTTTTCCTCTCCTAGATCTGGTTTGCATTTGTCAATGGCTTCTCCGGTCAGATCCTGTTTGAACGCTGGTGCATTGGCCTGTACAATGTGGTAAGTGTTGATCTATACCCTCCAACAAACCCACTATGATCTCTTACACTTGACACCAAACTGACTTTCCACGGTGCCCCAAAAATGATCCTTTTATTGCACAACTATGTCATCAGCATCCCGAAAACGTCCCTCCTTATTTATGACCCCTTGTCAAGTCTTCATTCCCTCTGCGGCTTAAAAAATGTACTGAACGTGAAAGAACAACAGCTTTGGTTGCCCCACAGAGTGTAGTTAGCAATGGCCGCTCAGTTTGAATGATAAAAAAGAATAGAAAGAATGAAGCAAAAAGAGCGGGCTGCTGATGTGGTGCGTCCCACAGGGCTCCGTAATGGGACCACTCCTAATGAACTCATATTTCAAGTCTGTCATGAGTTTAGAAGAGGAGGAACATGTGCATTGGCTGGTTTGATCATAAATACTATGTCATTTAACCCACAAGGAGTTTATATCTGACTTTAAACAGTTTATTAGATCCAGTTTACTTCAATAAACAGAAATGAATGAGAAGAGTGTGAGGTGAAATTTCCCAAACTCAACATTTGACTGCCCTTGAATGGAAGTCATTTCTGGGAGGCACCAACTGTTGAGAGAGTAGTTTCACATATACCTTCCTTGCAGGTATTTTTATACAAATGATAATAAAGCTCTAGACGGGCATTGCCACTTTTCAGTTCATCCTAAAACTGCCTCTTGGTGGGAGTCTGTCAGAGGCAGTGGCCTGAATCCACCCTTCAATGGAGATCTTCCTGGGCCTGGCTCTGAATGAGAAAGGAGTCCAGTGGAGCATATCCCGTGAAGCGCTGGTCACGTACACACAGGGCTGTAGACACCCACTCCAGATGGGCCCAAAGAGGTCTCACACCAACTGACCCGCCGAGCCCCCAAAACCACACAATACCAGCAGTCCTCTCCTGGCAGCTGCTATACGGGCCAGTTTTACAACACTAAGCAAAAATTACACTAAATACCTGCCTCTTAGTCAAGAGAATCGCAGATGTTCAATTTTACAGGTGCACTTTGAAAGTTTTCTGGTGTAGGTTTTGCCGCCTCCTTGTCTGTGTTGAGTTTGTTGTTTTACCTGGAATTTTCCACAGTGTTGTATTATATGACAAGCAGGTGACTCCAAAAGGCCGGTCGCAGGTCAGAGGAGAGGCAACCCCACACAGAGCGAGCTTTTTGAGCATTAAATACAAATGTAATACACCTGCTGAATAAATGCAAGATAAGTTTAAGATAAGATATGTTTAATGCCACACTGTGGTACATTTCAGTCAAATCAATAACATCTCCATCTCCCAAGCAAGCAGGTAGTGGACCCTCCACTAGTCCAAGGTTACATTATGCATCTTTTATATGGGGTGGGTGATCATGTTTGTACATAATTAATAATATAATAATAAAGTGAATAGTGCGGTATAAACCTCCAGTAATATACTGTATAACACAGAAATGATTTAATCCTTTACTGTATACATGACCTATTGACATATTTTATTTATCTGAAAGTTACTAATGTTTTGCTCTTTCTTATTTCTGTCTCAGCTATTCACTGCTTTGCCGCCTCTCACTTTGGGAATATTTGAACGGCCCTGCCGAAAAGAGAACATGCTAAAGTACCCTGAACTCTACAAATCCTCCCAGAATGCCATGGGCTTCAATACCAAGGTATGGGCTCCGTTTTGTTATTGTATCAAATTTTAATTTTAATTTTGAGTAGTCCTGCAACTAATGATTATAAAATACATTATTAACCAAATAAAAGTTGAAATATTGTGACCAAGGGCTTCAAATTACAGAGTATATATAAATATTCACAAAAAGTGTATTATTGGTCAGTAACTGTTTCTTCTTTTTAGACATTTAAATATAAAAATACCACTGTCACCACATTTTCTCATGCATTTTAGAGTCTGTATAGTCCAGATTATGATCAAAATATGATTTACTGTAGTTGACTAGACACAATTAGTCAATTAATTGTTGCAGCCCTACTTGTCAGCATAATATATACTGCACAACATACATCATTGAAGGTTTATTCAAATAAATTCACACCGGACTACGCTGTGTTGTGGATGTTTGGATTGAGGCCATCTCTGCCGCAGTAATGACCCGACAGCTGTAGTCTGGACGTCTCCAACCATGGTTTCTGGGTTGGCCTGGTATGACCTGCTGTGTCTATGCTCTCTTGTTACTTTCCCCGTTGATAATAAAGATGTCTCCCCACTTCTTCATGCTGGTTGCAGACTCCTGGTCCCTCCTCACAGGCGTGGTGACCTGGTTAGCTCTGCATGGAGGTGGATTAGAGGAGGATTGGCCATGGCGGACAAGGGCAAGAAAGGTCATGGGGTTGTGGGATGCAGGCAAAGGGATCAGGGCTAAAAGAGGGAATAGGAGAGTGTGCTTGTATTGTGTGGCAGCTTTTGTTGCGGAAAATTATGCAATTTGTTTAAGAGAGTTCTTGTTTGTCCCCCGAGCAAGACTGTCGGATCTAGTTTGAAACATCCGTGACTAGTGGAACTAACAAAATAACAGTAGGGGTTCCATCAAAGGCTGAGTTTTATGCCATGACTTTTCACAGTTCATTTCAAAAGAAGAATTGAATGGCCCTCGGATAATTCTTTGGCAAAGTTATTTAGGAAATGTATCATCTTGAAACTAAAACTCAATAATAAAAATAAATATAAATAAACTAGAAAAACATGTTGCTAGAAAGATGTTGTACTCTCAGTTAGGCCTGGACAATACTGTGACAAAAATGTAATTGTGTGTTTATCCCTTTGATCCCTATTTTGGTCATATCAGCATATCATAAAGCATTAGATTAATCGCAATTGAATCTCAGTTTGAATGGATACAAAGGCTGCAATTTTTGAAGGATATATTTCCTCCACAAACACCTAATTATAACTGAAGGTATTATTCTAATAACCCTGTAGTTTAGATCTGCACAAATATGTTCTTAAATACATAGGATTCTTGCATTAGTTTGTCACTTCTTAGGCCTATTTCAGTCTATTAAAATTCTCTTGGATGCATTTAAAGTGTGACCTTTGAACAGAATCCTACTGCGAAAACATAAATCACAAATCTAATTGCAATGCTTGCCAGAAAAAATGTGTTTAGTTATTTTTCCAAAATCGTTTAGTCCCATCTCTGAATGACAGCTGGATTTAACTAGAAGACTTTTTCATTTCCTGACTTAATTTACATCTTAAAAGCAATTGATAAATACAAACTGTACATGAATTGTAAAAATACAATCAAAATTTGTGACCTGACTTCAAGAAAATCATGATTTTATGTCGTATTGCCCACCCCTACCCTCTGTACCATTTTTCACCTGTAAACAAAAAAGCTTTTGATGATGGCAGAATGTTAATGCAATTAAGGAAATGTGAGGAAATTCCGTTCGGTAGCCCAAGCCAAAATGGAAAAGTAAAGACAAATTACTATGGAGTGGTCTCTGATTTGTTAGTTCATTACCGTAAAATGAAGATTTATTTCTTTCATCCTGTTGAATGCTGCATTTTATTCTCATCAACTTTAGTGACACTATTTTGTCTGATAGTGAACACGAGCCTTCATTTTGTTTGGGCCACATTTTCCAAGAGCCATAAATGATGACTGGGCCAGGTCAGCAGGTTGTTTTTGCTGGCTTGTCCACTCTCTTCCCCAGATATTTTCCTTGCAGCTGGCCCGAGGCGAGGCGAGAAAATCCAGCAGGAATTTGGCCCCTCACCGCCTGTCCTTCTGCACGCCTGCCTCTTTTGTACACAACAGATACGGCCTTTGTCGAGTAAAGCTGTTTGTGTTGTGAGGTGAGAGCAGGGAGGGACCAAGGGCGTTCGGAAAGCTAGGTGGGGTCCTGGCTCTGTTACCAGACTGTTTTCCCCTGGATACACCTACTGCACTGACTTAACAGAGATGTAAACATTTTGTAGCAACAATGGCATAAGTAGAGGTGGGCAATGTAATGTTTATTTAATATCACAAAGCTGTTTTAAGTGTACAATTAGAATATTGAGCAGTAAATAAAATTGGAATATAAAGTTGTATCAATCATAAGACTAAGAAAACAAACAATTTATATTACAGATTTCTTGGATTATCTTTTTTGTTTATCTTGTTTATTTCCAAATTAAGGCCTGGGTAGGTTTTGTATATTAGAAACTGCATATATTAAATTTTCTCTAATATTACGTCTTATCATTTAACATTAAAAATGACCAATTAAACACTTTTAAGCATTTCTGCTGGTATCACATTTCATGAATAATAAAAACGGCCAACCAGGAAATATCTGGCTCTAAATTCATTATTACCACCTTTGTTCTTTTTTGATAAATAATACAGATCAGACTGGACATTCATTTAAAAACGCTCTTTTCAGCCGCTTTCCAGGATACAATGTGCAAAACAAAACAAAAACGCTGGACTGAGGGGAGGATCCAACTGTGACAAATGGTTATGAACATTTGATTCCATTAGCATTCATTACAGTAGAGGGATAAGGGGTACGGGACTTCACCCCTGCAGTGCCGTGTCTGGGACAGGAGGAAGTCTGTAGACACTAGAGCCATAATCCTGTCAGCTGGGGGTTAATTGGCCTAAATATGGCGTGGTAACATTAGGGATGATTTGGCTCACTGTGGGGGCAGTTTGAGCCACTCTGCAACCAGTGTATTGGGTTTGTGTACACAGTGGGAGAGTGAGGTAATCCTCGTTAGGCGGGTGGTGGCTGTGTGACTTTGTTTAGTTGACAGAAAACGTGATGTTGTAGAGTCCAAAGTTTTGCGCTTGGAAATTTGTCCCATTTCGTTCCAAAGTGTCAAGCGTGACAAGTTTAGCATGAAATTGTGGTAATAATTCCTGTAAGTGATGTAAAACTCAGGAAATTGTAGCTTTTGAAAACATTGGTAACACTTTATCGAGGCTAATTAGGGTGTAGTTTTTGTAAAAACATAAATTTTGGCCATGAAAAAAAAAGTAAAAATTTCATTTTGGTTGTGTGTAACACTGAATATTGCACTAATAAACATGCATCCTTTCTCCTTCTTGTTTCCATGAAAAATGTTACTCCATTGGCTATAATATTTCACAGTATGAGATAAAAGTTTAGTCTACATGGAGAGTAAGGTTTTAAATTTCCATTTCCATGGAATCATTCTGGTGACATCTCCAGAAAGTTGCATACAGCACCTTAAAGTAGTTTCAAATTTCTTAATAAACTATTAACAAGTATTTGTTCATCATGAATTAAATCTTTCTTAAAGCTTTTTTTTTTTAAAGCTAATTAAGGTGTAGTTATTGTAAAGCTATATGAACATGGTCCACATATTAAAGCTCAGGGATCTGTCCTATTTCATTCCAAAATGTCAAGCGTGAAAAGTTCAATGTGAAATATTAGTAATAATTACCTCAAATGATATAAAATTGAGGAAATTGTAATTTACGCGTTAAGTTTCAATGACTTTTTTGCTGTAAAGGATTTTATTAGAACACCTAAAGCTGGCCAAAAAGTAATGACCAAAAGGAGACCAGCAATATTTTCCTGTCTTGTTTTTATTTTCGCCCTGTCAGCCAAATTCACTCTTTGAATTCGGATGGACCCCCAGCTCTGCGAATTAGCACCAGCGTCTGGGTCAGCCCGACGGAGGAAAGGAGGGCAACAGTGGAGCAGTTTTTAGCTGAACAGATTTCACGGCTGTTTCATGCTACATCGCCCATTACTGTTTTGTTTGGCTGTAGCGCTGCATAGTGTACATTTTAAACAAGGTGGTTTTGGATTGGCAATACTGGTTCGAAAGACTCCAAAAATCAGCCACACACTTTCCAGACTTTTAATAATTACCATGAAAAGTGTTTAATCTGTGTGGGCCCGGACTGGGTGGGTTTTTGCATGAATGATGTTGTATATTGTCCTGGCGCGAGACCCTGCAGTTGATTGAAAGACTAGACATCTCCGGAGTTGTTATCCAAATTTTCAAATAAGCTTAGTGTAAAAGAAATAAAGTTAAAGCTGAAGGCCAACATTGTGCGCTCTTTTCAGCACTCCTCCACACACTCTCACTCATAACACTCAGAGGATATACAGCGTGTCTGTCAGCGGGGAGGCTATTCACGCAGGAGGCCTCAACAAAACCGCCACTTAGCCTAGCGCTGGGCTGGCACAAAAGCACGGGGTCAGGGGTCACTGGGTAGGCTGGAGCTCCTCGCACTCTTTTCAAATTCTTTTTTCTCTCTCTGTCTCCTCTCCCTCCCTTGTTTTTGGAATCTCCTGCCTCCTCCTCCCCCACCCGTGCACTGCCTCCATCCCCTCCATCTTTCTTCCCATTTCTCTGCAGGTCTTCTGGGCCCATTGTCTGAACGGCCTCTTCCACTCCGTCATCCTCTTCTGGTTCCCCCTTAAAGCGTTCCAGCATGGTAAGTAGCTCTGAGAGCGCACTGGGCTCAGGATGAAGAGGAAGAACAGTCACACTCACACACTCTGTCTTAATTAGGTCTCTCTTCCATCGTCCTCTATTGCAAACATGTGTGTTCTCCAGTTAGAGAGACATAGTCTAACAAGCATGAATCCATGTTCACTACAGTTCAAGTGTACTAGAACTGGATTACACACATACATTTGGTATTTGTCATTCATTTGTCACACACTTAACAATATGGTTGATGAAATAAAGAAACTGCAAATATATATATATATATATATATATATATATATATATATATATATATATATATATATATATATATATATATATATATATATATATATATATATATATATATATATATATATATATATATATATATATATATATATATATATATATATATATATATATATATATATATATATATATATATATATATATATAATAAAAACAGTTGAACAATGTTCACCAGCTTAAATGCCCACATACATACTTTACTCTTCATACAGAGAGTAGATCATTAGAGCCAGGGGCTGGCTAGTCACACACAGGACCACACAGGCTTGTGCCTGAGCTCCAGACAAAGGCCCAGCCCTCAGTGTGAGTGACAGGCTGTCAGCACAGCCTCACTGAGCTCACATGTGATCAGTCGGACGTAAAGCGGAGCAGAGCCTGTTACTGACACTAACCCTCTGCTGTTATTGTAGATCCAACCCATGTGACATGGTGAAATGTTAATTACATCTTTATTATTTTAGGAAACACCTATTAGCTCGAATGTTTCTCTTACATTTGACCATCTCCTTTTCTGCCACATTGATGACTTTATAAAAACATTGTGGAATTAAGAGTTGTTAAAGACAAGTTATTGTTCCACTCTCTCCCCTAGAACACCAAGAAATCAGTGATTCACTGTGCTTTTCATTTTCTCTTCCCATGTCCACTGTACATAAGTCACTGGAACATTTCACACCAAAGTTGCCGAGCAGAACTTGTAGTAATTTCCTGAGCACTTTCACAAGCTTGTGTTTTTGATTTTCTTTGCAGATACTGTTTTTGGCAGTGGACAAACTCCGGACTATCTCCTCTTGGGGAACATGGTTTACACGGTAAGTGCTTGAGTCCTGTTGACAGCAGCTGTCTCTGCTGAGTTTGGTCTATATGTGTGCACCTGCTCTGATCCTTTCACCTCTTTATTACATTTACAGAGTGAGTCCATGTTAATACATTTAAATTTGTTTTTACAGTTTGTGGTCATCACAGTTTGTCTAAAAGCTGGTCTGGAGACATCCTCTTGGACCACTGTAAGACACTTCTCTATTCAATACAGTATTTTCATAGGTGCACTGTGGAACTTTTCTACCTGCTTGTCTAATGTCTATACTAAATATATTTGCACTAATACCAAGTAACCTGTTTTCTCCTCAGTTCAGTCACATTGCCATCTGGGGAAGCATTATATTGTGGCTCGTGTTTTTCCTGATCTACTCCTCCCTCTGGCCACTCATCACCTTGGCTCCTGACATGTCCGGAGAGGTAAACATGGCTGCTCGCACACACCGGACACACTGGACACACTGACACCCACAACATCACAGCAGGAGCACAGCCTTCACAGGTTCACGTGACATCACAACATTTTAGAAGGCCTATATTTTAAAATTGAGCCAGAGGACAGGTCAGAATTATATGATAATATTTGATTTTTAATTGTCAGATCTGATTGCAAATTTGTTGACCTGGTTTATGGTTCATGTCTGATTACTGGACTTATCCAAATGAAACAAAAACTGGTACAAAGTGTGACATCTTCTCAAGCAGCATGAAGGGAACTTTGTTCATAATAGCTTCAGAAAGTTGTATCATTATTAAGGACATAAGATGAATATGGGAAGTTTGTGGAGCCAATCCCTAACAAATGATAAGGTTCCTCATTTGTCAATCATAAATTTTGATATTTTTTCAAAGTGAATCTCCCATTGACGTATATATAGCCCCCTGCCCTTCATCTGAGATCATGAGATCATTAAATACCGGACTGTGAATGCAACCAATACTCAGCAAAAGTGCTCCTAAAATGCCTAAAGTCCTGCCAGATTCCTAAAAGTCAGGCAGACACTTTGGAAGATGTCAGGACGCTGTTTGACATGGGTCTTTGTAAGGTGAGCCAGATGGGTGTGAACTGTCAAACTTCTGGTTTGTGTTATAAAATGACTTAATTGGGCTAATTAGGCCAGTGTTTGTGTAGCTCTGCCCTCCGCTATTCTGAGTATCCACAGGTGACACTCAGACTGTGAGGGAGACGAAGCAAAGATATGGTGTGTGCACTCTGGATTATAGAAAACCATGTCTTAATGTTGATTGCAAGTAGTTTTCCTAAGTAAATTTGTATTAAAGGCTGTGTTGCAGATATAATGTACAGATATACTGTGTCAGGAATAAGGAATCAGGAAGTGTGTGTTAGCATTGTAGCAGTTATGAGCTTTTCTGTGACAGACCAACTCCACTCTGGTCTGTAAAAGTTGTGCAAAGTGCTTATAAACTCATGGTGGTGAATAATTAGGATGTTCAGGATGTATAAGATAAATGAGGAATTAATTTGGACCACTGCAAACTGAACTACTTCTGTTTTTAAGTCTGTAAAAATAACGTACAGCTCTTTTAAGTAGTTAACTCAGATACTTTAATATTCTTTGTATGTTTATGTAGTAAGAATTTTTCTAAAGTTATCTCTGTAATCCCTAGTAGCCCAGGTGAGTCTATAGCAAAAACGTTGCATTCTGTCAACTGAAGTTAGAGTAAATACGTTTCGACTCTCATCCAAACAGCTTTACCAGTGTCAGTGTGTCAGAACTGAAGAGGTTGACTGGATGAATGGCAAATCATTCACTCTAAAAAACTAAATCTAAAGAACTGTACCCTCTTTTGCTATTGTTTCTTAGGGTTAGTCCCCCGGATTATGTTGTAACATGTCTTCATATGCGCTACACTTCAGCCCCCCACATGTGGTGAATGGGTAGCAGTTAACCCCAGGTGACATTTCTTAATACATTTAGCTAAAGGCTTTGTCTCTTCATAACAAAGGAGCACAGCAGGTGAACATTACCCAAAGTCGACTTACCCATGTTGCTCATTAGTTAATAAATGGGCCTTGTACATACTGAATATAGTATAGTCATAATCCTTATGATTGCCATCGTAAATATATCACTAAATCAACAAGTTGTCACCATTCACCGTTCAACATTTTTTTTCTTTTTATAACTATAGAAAGCACATTTGAAACCTTTAATATAATTTATTTTCAGAAAGACTATGGAAAAAATGAATTGTAAATTTACTTCAGGAACCAGGTAGTGGGTGGTCACTGTTGCGCTCCGCAGCTAAAATAATATTTGATTTTAAAAAATCCTCGCTGGTGCATTTTTTTTATTTTTTTTACACTGATATTGAGCCCAAAAATACTTTTCATCTGACACTGATTCACAGGCCTACTTGCAGTAAGATTGACGTCTGAGGTCTTTTGTAAAATGTAAAAATTGGAGTATCGCTACTCTAAATGTAACCAAGCACCAAAACACAACACATTCCCGTGAGTCAGACTGTCGCATACATGACATACCAACCTTGTCTCCCAAATATTTCGCTGTGTCTCTTCACTCAGCCAGACAGGCACGTAGCAGCAGCAGTAGTCTACATTACTCTGCTCTTCTCATCTTAGCGTGAAACATGTCTCTTTCATCCATGGCCTGCAGCACTTGACCGAGGACAGTAATGGCGTCCTGTGGGTACAGGGGTAACCTTACGCTCCTGCCCCGGCTCAGCTCGCTCAGATGCCCGTGCAGCATCAAACGGGGTCCCATCTCTCAGAAACCCGAGACAGCATCATACGAACACAGCAGCAGCCCCAAAGCCACGCAGCCTTTAAAGAACAGCTCAGTCCCAATCAGTCTCTGCATTTTTCACTCTGGCCCCATCTGCCAGTGATGTTTACAATGTGTTTGAGCTCCTGGGACTTCTGTCTGTTTTTCTTTGTATTCCTTTCAAAGCTTTTAAGAAATATAATGTAATGATGACTATGGACTGTGCTCATTTGCTGCCATGCCATAGACATACACTTCTGTTAATTGAGAAGATCGGAAACTGTTGGTGTTTAGAAATAAAGTCTGTGAGCTGAAGACAAATTATGCTTTTATTATTTTTAGTATTTCGAGTATACATTTTGTCCATTATAAATTGCAATATTGATCTTAAGCCCTTTATTTACAAAAATAGTTATGTAGCCATGTATGGCCTGAAGTGTGAGTACAGAATAGTGGGTGGAAATAAGAGCTAGGTTGAAACAGAAATTTTCCAGTGTAGAATAATATAGAATTGCTTAATTACCTATCAAAATACCACTTGGAGTAAGAGGATAATGAGTCAACAACATGGTTTATAGTTCATGAAAGTCCCCTCTGATACACAACCATAAGGGTTTAATGTAGAGATGTGATTAAATATACTGCATAGATATTGTGCATTGCTGAATGAATATAGATTAGAAACGTACATTTTCCTACCAGGCCACCGTAGTTCCATAGTAACTGGTGACTACATAGTATTGCTGATATTTATGCTGCTTCTTTATTCACCCTTACCTCGCCACAGGGTTAGCCTTTTAACAGACACCAGAGCTCCTCACTGCTCTTGTCTCTGCTCTCTCTCACCACCACTCTCTCATCGCGAGACCTTAAGCAGCGCCTGGCTCCATGTACACGCATCCATCACTGTCAGGGGAAGTATGCTCTGTACTATTGACAGGACAGGTGCGGGATCCAGCCAGAAAGCAGTCAAAAAAACCCTTTGCAGGAACTGGCGTGCAAATCCAGACCGCTTAGACTTCTATAAACCGCCACAGGTATGAAAAGGAGAGGATTTAGTTGATGTTGTGTAAGCTGCTATACCTGATATTTCTTGCAGGCTCTGGCACACTGATTTAGTGCCTCTCCTGGGATATCAACAAATCAGCACACCTGCTAATAAGCTTTTGATCCCATGTTTAACTTCATTTGACTTAGAAATTACTTTTTTGAACTAAAATTTACTTTCATACAGGCACAAGTAAAGGTGAAAAATTGTGCTATATTTTGACCTTGTGGCTTGAATTATAAAATTTGTTTGACTTGAACTATTAATTACTGCTTCTTCATACATATACTAAAGCTGTATTCAAACCTCACACATCTGGTAATTTGCAAATTACCGCTCCACCTCTGTGTTACTTGCAGCGTATTCACACAGGATAAGCAATTCCGTAAATGACTTTGTTTTATTGACACTGACTGAGATTGAAAGAGAAGAGAACACGGAAAGAAAACAAAGAGATAGAAAATGTGCACAATTACAAAAACAAACACTGAGATGCAGATTCGCGCGGGACTAGTATTATCACCGGACATCTGTGTTTGGCAAAATATAGGTCATTTGCGACGGAATTTTTATTTTACAAATTACAGACATGGCGCATTCGCACGGGGTTAAGATCTCAGGCATCCTCCGCAATTATTACAAATTACCAAAGGTCCACAGGTAAAACTAATCCTGTGTGAATAGGGCTTAACACAAATATATAAGGTATATTTGACAGGCTTCTAACTGGTATTTTTTCATTGAAATGTAGTTATTCTTCTTGAAGTCCTGTACACTTTGGAAAGTTTTTAGAGTTTGGTAAGCATTTTGGTTTGTATGAGCAAAAATATCAGTTTCCCTGCTCCTTTGTGAGCGGCAGTAGCTCAGTTGGTAGAGCATTCGCCCATTGATCTGAAGGTTGGCGGTTTGAATCCAGCTCTCGACATAAACATCACAGGTTGAGCGGTCAGATCCACTGACCCACAGGTTGGCTGGCGTGATTCCAGCTCCCACAGATGAATGCTGTCGTTGTGTCCTTGGGCAAGACACTTAACCCACCTTGCCCACAGTGTCTGTGTACACCGGTGTATGAATGTGTGTGTGAATGGGTGAGTGGTTCCTTGTTGTAAAGCGCTTTGAGTGCCTTGAAGGTGGAAAAGCGCTATAGAAAAATGTGACCATTTACCATTTGTGTTATGAGTGGTCAGACCAGCGCATTGAAAACTACCCAGAATGCAGATAGAACCCTGTAATTCTGGGATAATTCAATTCAGCATACAGATATTTTAGGTTTATCAAGTTTTTACTTCATTTATGTTGTTCATGGACAAGCTAACCAAGATTTAAACAGATGTCTGTGTCCTCAATCATCCACACCGGTTCCATCATAAATACAGTTTATTTAAGCCAGTCCCTATCAGAGTTGAATTAGAACTGAAGAGGCTACTTGGATGAGTGACAAAACGTATTCACTTTCATAAATTGTTGATATTCGATGATGACACTCCTCAATTAACATAATATTTTACTTTCTTTTGCCATAATTGATAGAAAATCACACATGGTAATTCCTACGTACATCTTTGTCATTCTAAAGAAGACAAATTGTCTTTTTCAATTTGCAATATACTGTTTAAGTATTGTCA